TCTAAAACTGAACAAACGAAAAATTAAAAAACCTAAAAGTGGAAATAACCTAAAAACTGAAAATTACAAAAATAGAAAAATTTCACTTTGGAAAAAAGAAAAATTCCAAAATCAAAACATTGAAAAACTGAAAAATTGCAAATTTTTGAATTGCTAATCGAAAAAGTGAAGAAACAAAAAAAAAAATGAAAAATTCAAGTCAAAAAAACTGCAAGAGCGTTACTTACGCCACTGGTTTTAATTTTATAGAGGTTATCAGAAAACAAAAATCGCAAACAATGTTTGTAAACTGCACTTAAGTAGCGATAGAAGTTCTGTCGAAATAACCTTGAAGGAATTTGTTAATGTTCTATTCCAGTATCGTTACACTGCCTCAATCTTTTTTTTACATAAAAGCGCCGTTCTGAGTACAAGGAGCCTCGTGCCACCCTAATGAGAATTCGATACCCCAGCCATTGATTAAATACATATAGATAGACCCATGCTATTGTTTGGAGCGAACAGGCCAACGGCCGGCGAACAAGAGATGGCGCACCAACAGTCGGTCGTCAAACGCCGGCGAAAAGCTTGGACACCAATCGCGCGCGTAGATAACCCAAATCGCAGCAACAATACATTTAATAAAGCTACCACTCGACAGAGGGCGACGAAAACAATGTGTAAAAATCTCATAGTAACCATTTATATAATTTGCAACGTTGCCAGATGAGCCTAGCACAACTTTGCCGTTATTTCTAGTCGATTAGATTTTATTTCGTTTAAAAGTTTCTGGTGAATAAATGGAATTATTATAATGAATAAACAATACAAACAAATTATTACTTGTTATTTTAAATACTTGTTAGTGTTGATGAAAACATAAATGGTAATTAAAGTTATTCTAAATACGGTCCGGTCCGGTAGCTCAAATTTTACAGTACGAGTGATATGTTTCAGGACGAGTAGGTAGCCGAGTCTTTAATTTCGAAACGAGTACTGCGAAAAGAGTTGCCGGACGTATGTTGTTATGTATTTTATTTCATACTGTCAACATACTTTTTTATTCGATAATATTATTATTATTTTGAGAAAAAATCCAAATCGAGTCACTTTTTCTGACATCGTTAGCAACCGCTCTTTGGTAAATGTTTTAATTTGTTTATTCGTGCAAATCAGCATCATATGTTTAAACACATAGTACTTATAACACTTTACAGGACTTATTGTTTTGTATAATCCGACTCGATGGACGAATGTTTTGTGCAATCCGTCTCGAAGGACCAATGTTTGTGCAACTCGGCTCGTCCTACCAGTATTTTTTGTAATCTGGTTGATACGACAATGTGATACCGAATTGTACTTTGATATTGCTCCAAGGACCTTTGTTTTCTTGCGTGCGAGATAATAGACAGCGTTCGGTTTTGATGTTTAATACAGGACGGTTACAGAAATACTAAATTTACATTTGTATTTACAATAACAGGTAAAGCAAAAGAGACCCAAAAGGGTCAGTGGCCGCTTCCGGAAATGGAACACTTGTCCTTTTTAGCTCAATTTTATCGGACTTGTCCGTTTTTTTGATTTTACCGGAATCGTTCGATCCAGTAAAACGTCAAACTTGACATAGTATAAAGTAAAATAAATAAATTTTATTCAATTTTGACATGTAAACAAACGTTTATTTTGCCGTCAGTAGGCCACTAAAGCTTTGGTTTATCCGGTAGCACCATAAAATTTTTAAACCGCTAGCGAAATAAAATTTTTATTTTGCTGTTTTAAAACCATGGTTACCATTTCTGTAATTTCTCCAATGCCTTGCTGCTCTTTCCATCTAAGGAACTTTTGATACACTTTCTGATTTGCTCTTTTTTGGGAGCAAGTTTTGCCGTTGGAATCTTGCATGATTTTGCAATTTTTCGATAATTTTAGTTTGCTTAAAATAAACAAACACCGTCGCCAGAGTCACATACTACACACACACACCTGATATTGTAACCTAAATTCTACGCATATAAAACTTTTATTTGGTCGCTGTCAATTCTGACGTTTCTCGAATGTGAACTTTGAATCACCAATTTTTTCACAATTTGGGACTTGGGGTTGTCAAAATTGAATAAAAGTTTGTATTACACTCGCGGTTAAAATGAATGTGTAACTCGTGGTCTTAAGGCGCTCGCGGCATACGCCGCTCTCGCCTTAAACTGGCCGCTCATTAAACATTCACTTTAACCGCTTGTATAATAAATAACTATTATGATGTAAATACAATTGAGTATATCGATAATTCGCTACTGAAAATTTATTGAAATATAATTTGTGTTAAAAAAAGATTTTTGTGGTTTTATGGTTTATTAACATAATTTACTTATTTGAAATTAAATATTTTTAATACATAGCACAAGTTCTTGATATTCTTTATTTTTATTCCAAGTAATAATTGTGTTTCCTTTAGTTTTAATCAAGAAAATTTTTCGGTTATTATCTAACATACTTTTGTACATTAAGAAACTCCATTCCACGTCACAGGACGTTACAGGACAATATTTAAATAAATAAAGAAGTCGTTTTATGTGTTTTAAAATTCACTCTGATTTCCGGACTTTAGACTTTTTGGTGTTTCACTTCGGCACAAGAACTAGTCGTATCTCAAAGAAAACAAACAGTGGAATAGGTATACCGTATTGTACCTATATTTCATAGTAAAAATGTCTAAATTTTTTTATGAAGAGACAGACTGTTCTAGGAAACTTTACTAAATCTTTTCATTTACGAGCTATTGAAAGTCCGCCGGTCTCACTGATACTTCTTACTTGGCTCCTACGAATGAAGCGAAAAATGCACAGATTGAAAATATAGTAAATGGGGTAGTATGTATGCGTGATATGTCGTTAGACATTAGGTATTTTGCAAATAAAATCTATTTCATTGAAAACAGAAACAATAAAAAACATATCTGTACAAGTTTGGAATCGATATGGCCAGTTGTTTAGAATATGCAAATATGCTTTTGTTCGTATTTACAATTATTACGAAACAGGTTATCAAATAATCTATTTTCACATGGCGAGACTTTCAAGCGGCCGAAGAATTAAAAACCATAAATTTTCATTGAAGAAACAAACTCTTCCAAGAAAATTACCAAATCTTCTAGTTTACGCACTATTGGACGAGCACTCCTTAAAACGGTCAGTATACCTAATCGCATTATTCCATTGATACCTACCTACCGAAAACGTTGCCAGATGAGCCTAACACAAATTTGCGGATATTTCTCGTCAACCAGATATTATTTCATTTAGAAGTTTCTGGTAAATAAATGGGATTATTGTAATGAACATATAAAACAAATAAATTGTGATTATTATTTGTTGTTTTAACCCATTAGACGCTTATAGGTTTATAAGCATACTTTTCTTGAAAAATCGGTAATAAATTCAGTGAAACATCTTTGTGCCTTAATTCCTATTGGTAAACTGGGATCTTGAATAGAGGTCGCAGGGAAATTTTGTATGGTTTTATGGTTTATTTACATAATTTTCTTATTTACAATGAATGTTTTTGATATATAATACAAGTTCTTGATATTATTTATTTTAATTACATTTAATAAACCATAAAACCACAAAAATCTTTTTTTAACACAAATTATATTTCAATAAATTTTCAGTAGCGAATTATTATCGATACACTTAATTGTATTTACACCATAAAATTTATTTATTTTACTTCATACTATGTCAAGTTTGACGTTTTACTGGATCGAACTATTCCGGTAAAATAAAAAAAACGGACAAGTCCGATAAAATTGAGCCAAAAACACGGAGGTAGAAGAGACACTCTTCTACCTCCGTGGCCAAAAAGGACAAGTCTTCCATTTCCGGAAGCGGCCACTGACCCTTTTGGGTCTCTTTTGCTTTACCTGTTATTGTAAATACAAATGTAAATTTAGTACTTCTGTAACCGTCCTGTATTAAACATCGAAACCGAACGCTGTCTATTATCTCGCACGCAAGAAAACAAAGGTCCTTGGAGCAATATCAAAGTACAATTCGGTATCACATTGTCGTATCAACCAGATTACAAAAAATACTGGTAGGACGAGCCGAGTTGCACAAACATTGGTCCTTCGAGACGGATTGCACAAAACATTCGTCCATCGAGTCGGATTATACAAAACAATAAGTCCTGTAAAGTGTTATAAGTACTATGTGTTTAAACATATGATGCTGATTTGCACGAATAAACAAATTAAAACATTTACCAAAGAGCGGTTGCTAACGATGTCAGAAAAAGTGACTCGATTTGGATTTTTTCTCAAAATAATAATAATATTATCGAATAAAAAAGTATGTTGACAGTATGAAATAAAATACATAACAACATACGTCCGGTAACTCTTTTCGCAGTACTCGTTTCGAAATTAAAGACTCGGCTACCTACTCGTCCTGAAACATATTACTCGTACTGTAAAATTTGAGCTACCGGACCGGACCGTATTTAGAATAACTTTAATTACCATTTATGTTTTCATCAACACTAACAAATATTTAAAATAACAAGTAATAATTTGTTTGTATTGTTTATTCATTATAATAATTCCATTTATTCACCAGAAACTTTTAAACGAAATAAAATCTAATCGACTAGAAATAACGGCAAAGTTGTGCTAGGCTCATCTGGCAACGTTGCAAATTATATAAATGGTTACTATGAGATTTTTACACATTGTTTTCGTCGCCCTCTGTCGAGTGGTAGCTTTATTAAATGTATTGTTGCTGCGATTTGGGTTATCTACGCGCGCGATTGGTGTCCAAGCTTTTCGCCGGCGTTTGACGACCGACTGTTGGTGCGCCATCTCTTGTTCGCCGGCCGTTGGCCTGTTCGCTCCAAACAATAGCATGGGTCTATCTATATGTATTTAATCAATGCCCCAGCAATTCCGCCGTATCACCCGCTGAACCCTGTCAAACGCACCCCCACCCTTCACGTGCCGCGCAACGTGCCAGCATCCGATGACCCGTGCGCGTCGACTCAAGTGGGGGGGACCCGCAATCGCAAAGTCCACTTCTCCGTGCAATCCCATGACATATTGCGGGCCCGAGTCCCCTTAGTGTATTTTTAGCCACCTCCCATGCCCCACCGGCCCACCCGACCATGGAGAACGGACGCGCCGCCATCTCGACCATCCTCTTCGACCTGGACAACACGCTCATCGCCACGAGGAAGGCCGACAAGCAGACCTGCGCCCAGGTGAGCCCCTTTGCTTTCCGACTTTCCGTCAGCTGTTCTTGACGTGTGCGCGACCGGGGTGGCGTTTGACAGCGCGTGACGTCACGGGGGCTGCTGTCAACGCAGCGGCGGCACGTGTTCGGGGGAGTCGTTGACTGGAAGCCTAAAAATAGTGAGCGATCCGAGACGCTGCAAATTACCGAATTTAGAAAGCGCCGAGACGCTGGAACTAAATATAACCTTGACGCTTCGCATGCACGAGGCGCAGTTGTGCGAGGGGCCTGCGAGAGGCAGCAATGGCGGGGCAGATTTCCGATGCAGTGAAAAAGTGCATAGGCATCCTGAAAAATACCAACAGTGACACGGAGAAGTTCGCCGCCTTGTTTATGGTCACGAAACTCGTTAAAGGTAAGTGAGGTTAGGTGAGGGCTGTCGGCAAATATGGCGCCCGGGGTGGTTGCGGTGACTGCGTGACGTCACGGTGTCGCGTTAGTGGTCAAAATCCACACACGAGCGTATCCGGTGTCGTGTACTTTGACCCTATTGTTTTCTTCGAGAGGAAACTGAGTAGGCGATGTGTGGATTTTGATTGGGGGAGACGGCGTGACGTCAACCGGGGGACCATGTTTGGCCGAAAGGTAAACAGTTTTTGTTTCACAAACGGTCTTTGATTATGTGCTCGTAAATGCCGGTAGAAACGGTTGATTGTGAAGAGAAAGTTGCCATTTCCGAGGCCGAATAACTGCTATAATATAATCACTCAATTGGTTTTGGACGCGTTTCGAAGGGACGCTTAAGTTACAACTTGTTACTCAGTGGTTTGTAATGCGATTAGAAATAGAGATCGTCTAATTATTTTAGGTGTCCAAACATTTCTCAATTGAATGCAGCTGTTGAAAGTCTTTACGTTATTTTGAGGATGTTGCCAACTGGATGTCTTTATTAATGAACTTTTCATATTTGCGGAAATGAAAATAGAAACTCGTTTCGAGAGCAAGTTTCACAACGATGGGGAATTAAGATTAATACAATCGTACAAAAGATTTGAAATTTGAACTGTTATTCTATACTTTGTTTTTTATATCTGCTGATACTCTCAGTGCAATTAAACTTAACTTGTGTAATTTTATGATAATTTTAATTAGTATTCGTTGAGTAATCACCAATCCGATAATTGGATACATGTAAGATTTTATCGAATGCGTTTTACATTATGAAAACAAGCGCATAAATGTTTCGCTAAAAATCTATTTCAGCTTTGTTATAAATAAACGATAAAATAGTTAAGTGCGCACAAATTCGCGTACTTTGTTTGCACTGGTTTTATAGATGTTGATAAATGCGTACACCAACGACTAAAAACAAACCTAATTATAACTGATCAATAACAAAAATGTAATTCATGAGTACACCTTTTTGACAAGAGCTTGGCCTGTTATCAGGGCTTCCGTAGCACCGGGAAATTTTTATCCCTTAACCACACTTCTAGTGATTTACACCAGCTGTCATTGTTTGAACAAAATGATGTAATTGGTTGAACATATGCCTGATTTACACGATAGAACAGCTGTAGTAAACACAATATTGTATTGTTGTTTTTCGAAAATTAATTCGCTATTTTTTTCAACGAAAATTAGCATTAATTATATATAACTAAAAACAGCTGGTTTAACGAACTTTGGCAGTCAATTATCTTATAATAATAACACTAGTTGAAAGACTAACTTAATGTTGATAAGATCAAACGTACCTACGTTCTCAACGCAATTGAAAATTACCTTATCGGAGTTTTCGGAAGTTCTAGATTTATCTATGTTTCATATTATAAAAGATCGTACACCAAGTTGGCCTTGAAATTGCGTCAATTTTGCCGCTTCGTAATGATGATTGATGACTAGTTGTCGCCTGTTATAAATGTCAATTTTGGCTTAACATTGTTACGCATTTTCGGGTGTTTGCCGCCTGCGGGATAGACAACCAGTATTTCAACGAAGCGCTAAATTCTTATTAAAAGTGCAGTACCGATATTTTCTGAAACACTCAGTATGTTATAAAACCGTAACTGCACTTTTTTTTGATGGTTTCTAAAAATAATTTGGCACCTGCACTTCGTTAGGTTTGTTTTGGAATGTTAAATGCCAGAATTTTTGTTAATGTATTTTTTGCTTATCAAAAACATGGACTACGACCTTTGGATTGTTGTTTACTGTGGTTTAGAGAAAGCAGTGATGAAAAGTCGTAGATTTGAGTCATTCGGTAACTGCGTCTTTTGCCAGTTGTGATTTTAGGTTAGTAATGACGTCAGTTAAACGTCACGATCATTATGAGGTTAGAATTTTGCGGTCACCTTGGCACAAATTACTCATTTTTTTGCAGTGTATAAAACACAGTTTGAAATATAGAAAAATTTGAAAAATTAAACATCGAGAAAATGAGAAGTTCTACAATGCAATAACTGAAAAATGAAAAAACTCTAAAATCGTAAAATTTAAAAAAGTGAGAATTTTTAAAAATCCAAGTTACTACTACTTATTTAAAAACTAGAAAAAATGCAAATCAAAAATTGAAGAAACGAAAAACTAAAAAATGAAAATTTTAAAAATCTAATGGTTGAATAATCGAAAAATTAAAACCCGAAAAAGAGAAAAAAAGAAAAATTATACAATTAGAATACTAAAAAACCGAAAATTTGAAAAAGCTAAGAAAACAAAGAACTGAAACGAATAAATGCAAATCGAAAAATTGAAAACCGATAAAATTACAAATCAAAACGTTGAAAAATCGAAAAATTAAAAAAACGCAAAATTACAAAATCCAAAAATTGGAAAATGTAAAATTTTCAAATCGAAGAACTGAAGAAACGAAAAGTTGGAACTTGAAAAACTAAAAATTGAGAAACTTAAAACGGAAAAAAATAGTGAATCAAAAAATTGGAAAGAAGAAAAAAAATCGAATCGAAAAATTGGAAAACCCAAAAATTGGAAAATCGAAAAATTATAGAATCGTCAAATTCAAAAGGCGAAAAACTGACATTGAAATATCCAAAAATTTGGAAAATCAAATATCGAGAAACTGAAAAATTAAAAATCGAGAAATTACGGAAAATTGAAAAATCAAATATATCAAAAAGTTCTAAAATCCATTAACTGAAAAATGGAAAAATTCTAAAATCGTAAAATTGAAAAAGTGAAAAATTTTGAAAATTGTAGTTATTATTACATATTTACGAAAAATTAAAACATACAAAAATTGAAAAATTTCGCATTGGAAAAAAGAAAAACCGAAAAATTGAAAAAATAAGGAAAACAGAAAACCGCAACGAAAAATTGACAATCTCAAAATTGAATATATATATATATATATATATATATATATATATATATATATAATCTGTTACCCTCTTTTACCCATTGGGTGTCAAAATTGAATAAATGAAAAATTGAAAAACTAGAATGATTGAAAATTCAACTATAGAAAAGCGAAAACTCAGAAATAAAAAAAATCGAGAAAAAAAATTGTCAATTCCGAATAGAAAAATTGAAAAGCCCAGAAACTGAAAATGGAAAAATTAAAAAAATCGAAAATTCGAAAAAATAGAAAAATTAAAAAATCAAAAAATTGAAAAAGGACGAATACATGTCTCACCGAAGATGTTTGGAATAAATTTCTAGACTTTAAAAAAACACGTTTAAATTCCTAGAGTTTGCCCAATTTCAGCAGACATTTTCAGGATTCACTTTTTTAAACAATAATAAGTCGAGTAGGGTTCATTCAATAGCCCTCCAGATGTCATTTGCCAAAATCAGTCTATCTGAGCAAAGGCTGGCCCCGCCCACCCGCCCCTGATTTTATTAGAGCAAATATCATTTGGCAGAATCAGTCTTATCTTAGCAAATACTAGCCCCGCCCACCCGCCCCTTATTTTATTAGAAGAAATGCCATTTGCCAAGATCTATCTTATCTTAGCAAATACTAGCCCCGCCCACCCGCCCATTTTTTTCTTAACAGATATGTGATTTGCCAAAATCAGTCTTAACTTAGCAAGTACTAGCTAAGTTAAGCGTCACAATCATCATGAGGTCAGATTGCTCCTTTTTTTAGTTTCTTCATTTTTTCGAGGTTTCACGTTTAAATTTTTTAATTTTTCAACTTTTCCATTCAATTTCTAGATTTAGCAATTTTTCGATTTGAGTTTCTCGATTTTTCAATTTTTAATTTTTCTTTTTACAATTCTTCAATGTTGCGATTTTATAAGTGTTTGTTTTTCAATTTCACTTTTTTTCAATTTTTTGTTTCATCAGTTTTTCAATTTGCAATCTTTCAATTTTTTTTTCTTTAATTTTACTATACTTTTTTTTTTTATTTTTAAATTTTCCAAATTTCACGAGTTTTCAATTTTTAGATTTTTCAGTTTTTCATTTCTTCAGTTTTTCGAGAAAAACGAGAAAGTACAAGTTATTCTGGGTCTTACATTAGGAGGAAGGCCGAAAATTATTTAATAATGGATTGACGTTATGTTTTTTATATTAATATATCTTTTGGTTTTTTCGCCAAAAAATCTTTGAATGAAAACTACTTATATGGAGGAAAAACACAAATTAAGCCCCACCCACCCGCCCCAATCTCAATTGTGATGAGTTTCATATGGTAATTTCTTGTAGAGAAATGAGGATTTTGCAACTAAACTCCGCCCTTCAGCTCACAATGAATAAAACATTAATCACAATTGAGAAGGGGTGGGTGGGCGGGGCTTATATTTTGTCATATGTTCTTAATATACGAAGTCTTCTTTTCCCAAAAAGAAACTAAAAACATGTTTAACTATCCTGTTGTTGAAAGAAAACTCTATATATTAAAAAAACACACAAAAATTAAGCCCCGCCCACCCGCCCCAATCTCAATTGTGATGAGTTTCATATGGTAATTTCTTGTAAATAAATGAGGATTTTGCAACTGAACTCCGGCCTTCAGCTCACAATGAATAAAACATTCATCACAATTGAGAAGGGGTGGGTGGGTGGGGCTTATATTTTGTCCATTTTTTCTTAATATACGAAGTCATTTTTTCCCAACAAGGAACTAAAAACATGTTTGACTATCCTGTTGTTGAAAGAAAACTCTCTATATTAAAAAAAATCACAAAAATTAAGCCCCGCCCACTCGCCCCAATTTCAGTTGTGATGAGTTTCATATGGTAATTTCTTGTAAATAAATGAGGATTTTGCAACTAAACTCCGCCCTTCAGCTCACAATGAATAAAACATTCATCACAATTGAGAACGGGTGGGTGGGTGGGGCTTATATTTTGTCCAGTTTTTCTTAATATGCGAAGTCTTCTTTTCCCAACAAGAAACTAAAAAACATGTTTAACTATCCTGTTGTTGACATAGAACTCTAGATATTAAAAAAACAAAGATTAAGCCCCATAAAATACATATTTCTCTATTAATTTGAATGAGTTTGTCTTCTCAAAGAAGAGGACTAAAATTATGAATGAAGCCACAATCGAACAAAATGTTACAAACATTATAACAAATTGAAAAAAAAACAAATTGATTGATCGGAAATTGAAAAACTGAAAATCTCAAAACTGAAACACAAAAAACAATCGGGAAATCCAAACATTGAAGGATTGAAAATCTGAAATTCGAGAAATTGAAAAGTTGAAAAATCAAAAATTCGAAAAACGCCAAAAATTGAAATATCGAGAAACTGAAAAATCGAAATATGTATTGAAAAATTAAAATATGAAATATCGGAAAATTGAAAGAACGAAAAACTGAAAAATCCCAAAATTGAAAATCCGAAGAATTGCTAAAACGAAAAATTGTTTCAGCGCGGTTTTTTCCAAAAATCTGGATGTGTACGATAAAAACACTTAGCAAGTACTAGCCCCGCCCACCCACCCATTATTTTCTTATGTCATTTGCCAAAATCAGTCTTAACTTAGCAAGTACTAGCTAAATTAAACGTCACGATCATCACGAGGTTGGAATTTTGCGGTCACCTTGGCACAAATTGCCCATTTTGTTGCATTGGTATAAAACAGCTTGGTAAAAAAATCAAATTTTTTCAGGTTAGGTCAACTTTTTAAAATTTTGATATTTGCGTAATTAACGAAGAAATAATCGTTGAAATTGAAAGATCGATTCACGTGTTTGGACAATGTTAATTCTAATTGTGTATTATTCATTGGAAACTTTCTGAACACTGTCGTCATTAAATGAAACTTGTGGTTTTTTAATTTAATGGAAAACCCGAAGAAACGCTCAATTCATGCAGTAAAATAGTTGCCTTAATGTTATTCAATCACCTATTCACGTGATCTAATAACCAGAAATAAGGCTCATTTTTCTGTTGCGTGTCTCGGTAGTGTTCAATTGAATCTTGTATCAGAACGAGCGCTCGTAAAGAGTCGAAATTTAGTACGATAAATTTAGACATATCAGTCATGTAAACAACTCAGATTATATAAAACAGAACTAGGTCAGGGATGAGGCGTTGGAATCAGCACAAAATAATCCTCCATTCATTAAATTATTATCAATAATCATAAATCCAAATTTATAGACAACTTAACCTCATTCACATTCCTAAACTGACGTTCAAAATTCTCGAAGCGTCAGCTTACGAAAACAAACCAACTATACAACCACTCTCATAGTCACAACCGACCACAGCACATAATAAAAGACCCCACTAACCCCCACCACTACATCCCCTTCTCATTTTTTAAGGCAAAGACTGCAATCCCGTGGCGAAAAAAGCCATCTTCGAAGCCATCGGCTTCGACTTCATCAAACGTCTCCTCCTCACCGACGACGTCCCGGTGGACTGTCCCCCTTCGATCTACAAATCAGTGGCCTTGTCCATCCTCACCGTCTTCTGCAATGAAGAAGAGCTCGCCACTAACCCCGAAATGCTCGCCAATGTTCCCATTTTTTTGGACATCGTCCAGAAGGCCGACGACGAGGACCTCATGTCGGTGGGGGAGACCTACAACTGCCTCAAAGGCATCGCGAGCTTCCGGGCCGGGCAGCAGGTGCTGATCGAGGCCGGGGGGATTTCCAAGTTGAGCGAGATCTACTCCCAGGGGAGCTTCCAGTCGGATGAAGCCTTGACGATCGTCGCGGTGTTAATTAGTAATCTGGGGGTGAAGAGCTGGGATGAGGGTAAACCCGAGACGTTTCACGCCTTGATGAATAAAGTAGCGGTGGATTTCGAGACCGACCAGGATAAGAGGAAGTTCGAGCTGTGTCAGGTGTTGAATGCGATGTTGTTGAGTTGTCCGAAGAAGATTCTGGCGAGCGCGGACAAGGAGACGTGGCCGATGAGCTTGTACAAGGGTTTGACGGATATTTTACAGAGCAAAATTGGCGCAGCACAGCGGAATCCGGCGTTGATTCTGGCGTCGAGTGTGTTGGATGTATTGGGGGTGGAATGGGCGATGAGCGACGAGGACAAACCCAAGCAATTTTTTTTGTTGATGATACAGTTGGCGGCGATTGAGGTACGAATGCAACTGGATGGAAAGGGGTTGAAGGCGGCCACGACTCAGAGAAATTTGATCACTGCTTGCTACATCATTCTCGAGCTCTCGATCAATTATATCTCGACGGATCAGCTCGATTTGGATCAAAAGGAAAAGCAGACTCTGTATACGGGCTTGAAGGGGGCCTTCACCGCCATTATCAACCTTTTGTTGAAAGTGGCCGCTGATAAGAATAAACCAGCAGGGGATGAGAAATGGTTCGTGTATGGTACGATTCGCGTCTTAGCGGCGTGGTTAGCCCAAGAGACTTCGGCACTCCGCATCCAAATCTACCAGCTCTTACCCTTTATTCTCGAGGTGTCCAATGAGAGTTTCTACGCACGTAAAGCCAAACGCGTCGCTGAGAAATCAGGAATAGAAACGGAAGCGACAGCCGAGAACTCGGTCGATATTCTCAGAATCCTGTTACCGGGGCTTTGCCACCTAGCCGTCGAAGACCCAGCCCGTGCCATCATCCTCAAAAACAACGAAGACAAAGTGCTTTCCGACTTCCTCCAGTTCCACTGGTCGATAGTCCACTATAAACGTCCACCGGTACCGAGGTCCGAGCGCCTGAAGGTCCTCAACCAACCCAAACAGGAGTTATCACCGGAGATCCTCGCCGAAATGCAGGATTCCCGCACTGCGATGATCAGCGCCTGTAACGTCCTTATGAATCTCACAGTCCTGGAAACAAAGTACGTCGACGCGAGCCCCGTTTTCAACGACCTTCTAAGGTTCATCTTTGAAAATCTACCCGAATTGAAGGACATCCCTGAGAACTTAGTCCTCCATGGAAATCTTTGCGTTTTAGGGTTATTGTTGCTCAAACAGTTGTCGAATAAAGTAAAAAAGAACGACTTTTCGATCTGTCGTTATATCCAAGCCACGATTAGATTCCTCTGGGACGCCTATATAATCGACGAGAGTAACGACCCCACGGCTTTAGTGGTCGCAATGTCGTACAAAGAGCACTGGATGGAGATCATGGAACTGTGGTTCTTGGGCATGCAGACCATGTCGGGGGTTCTAGCCCAGATTCCGTGGATCTCGGAATTCGCGATTGAGAGTGGCTGGGCAGAGGGAATAATCGTGACTTTGAAGAAAGTGAAGATCGGGACGCTCCCACCGAACGTCAAGTCTGCCTATGAAGATTTTCTTTGCCACTTGGTGGACGCCAATGAGAGCGTGACCGCGGTTTTGAAGAAGGCGGAGGCCTTGAGGGTTTGCCGGAACCATAGGCTGATGGAACTGGGAAAGAAGCTGTTCGGGGATTAATGCATTTTTTGGTGTTGATGTTACGCTAAGTTTTATACGAGAGAAGCAAGTTTTGTATCATATTTCAATAAATGTGTATAGACTGACCTATTGACTTATTTTTGTTCGATTGTAGATTGTAGTTAAAAAAAGCCTTAAAGTTTCTGGAGTTTTATTTGTGTCTGACAAAGATTAAAGCAAGGGGTATGGCGTCCCATTACGCTAGGGCCGTCTAATCTAAGACCAAAATGGCTATGATAACTTAGTATTAGTTAGATTTTGAAATGGTCGCGTTACGTATCAATATGATCTATAGACCTAAAAATAATAACTCAAAATTGGACAGTGCCCATAATAAGACGGCGACACAAAAAGTGTATCATCGTGACAACCATCGGAGGCGGTTTTATTTTCGGGTTGGTGGGTGGTTGGCAACAAGTGATTTACGCACGTTTATTAATTCTAGCTAGCGCAGATCTTGTGGGAGAAATGGGCGATCCCTGTGGATTTGGCGTCGGCGGCGTCGAAAGCGTATTTGAGAGCGTTTAGGAAGTGTCCGGAGAACTTGTCGATGAGTTTGGACGCCTGGAGGCGGCTGCTGTGGGCACAGGCTTTGGGGGATCAGTATAATAAGTACGCTGGTAGGTAACGATTTTTTTCTATGTCTAGAGTTGTCGTTTGTTTTGTTTTGTGTTCTTATCGTTTTGGCAGAGGCGACGACCTGTACTTCAGTCGGGCGTGGTGCCAAATGGTTATCGTAGGTTGTTGACTTTTGATTGTCTGAAGTGTTTTATTTTGATTTTTATTTTTGTTATCTTTGTTGTGGTGATAGTGATTGTTGGCGGAATTTTTGTACTCGCGGGAATATCGCAGGAAATGGCCGGGTTTGGAGCGGTATTGGAAAATTTTGTGTGTTGAAATATATTCATAGAATTCATTTTATGAATGTAACTTCATCCGGTTTCATTTGTGAACATATGCAAAGAGAAATAATAATTCAATTGTAATAAATATTGACCTATTTAAAGGTGAACTTAAATCAATTAATGTTACACAACGAAAAAGTTAGGTTAATGTTGAATTTTAAAACGTGTAACTATACTAACTTTGTAGTGTATTCCAATAGCGTGATTATGGATGATTTTTTAGATTTCTGCTCTAGTTAGCCATGACGCGTACGTCAGCTATGCAATTAAAGGTCCATTTATAAACTTGTCGCTGACGTTGCTGTTCGCCGTTGACGTTGACGTTGGCGTTGAAAGTTGGCACGACGTTGGGGTGACGTTCGAGATGACCAACTTTTAACTTTCACGGTTGCGTTGTCGTTGACGTTGGGTTTTCAACCAATCAAATTGTAATAGTGTGCAGTGCTGCCAACTTAAAGGAAAATCCCCGGATGGGTGGGACTTCTCTTTTGGTTTTCTTTTTTAATTAATACATTTACTTGTCTTCGGATAACACGATTACTTAAGAACATATTTCACATGGTAATTTGTCGTAGAAAAATAGGGATTTAACAATTAAGCTCCGCCCCTCGGCTTGTTTCGAATAAAAAAATCATCACAATTGAGACAGGGCGGGTGGGCGGGGCTTATATATTGCCTTTTCTTTTTCTTAATATACATAGCCATCTTTTCACAAGATGAAACTTGAAATATGAAAATGGAAAATTTGTATAAGGAAATATGGATTTTGCAATTATGACGCGGAGCCTAATTGCAAAATCAATATTTCCTTATACCAATTTTCCATTTTCATATTTACAGTTTCATGTTGTGAAAAGAAGTGTACACATATTAAAACAAAAAGGCAAAATGAAACCCCGCCCACCCGCCCTATCTCAATTGTAACGATTTTTTTTATTCGCCGTGATTCAAGGGGGCGGAGCTTAACTGCAAAATTTGAGTATCGTGTTGTTCAAAAAATACTATGTACATTGAAAAAAAATGAAGAATATAAATCCCGCCCACCCACCCCGTCTCAATTGTGATGATTTTTTGTTCATTTCATAAGTCACGTATTATTTTTTTTAGATATTCGTATGAGACCTGACCCCCCATGATAAGTAAATTTTGATTTATACGAGAAAATATCAAGGTGACATTCGACCACTATTAAACTTGGAGGTTAAAACATTTTTATTCATTTTTAATGTACACCAGTGTTTTGTTTTTTTCCTGTAAAAAAAATGAGGAAAATTATTACAACCTTGGCATTTTTAAAAACTTAAAATTTTGATAACTTGTTAAAAAACTTGGTACCAGTACGTATATTAAGAAAATAATCATCATAATTGAGATTGGGTGAGTGGGCGGGGTTTATAGTTTGCCTATTTTTCTTAGTGTACAGAGTATTTTGCAGTTAAGCTCCACCCCATCATGCTCCACTCCTTTGGTTCATGGCAAATTATAAAAAAATTATCACAATTGAGACAGGGCGGGTGGGTGGGCTTTCATTTGGTTTTTTTGTTTTATTATGTGCGGACATCTTTTCAAAACATTAAACTTAAAATATGTACATTAAAAAAAGTCAGAATATGAACCCCGCCCACCCACCCCGCCTCAATTGTGATGATTTTTTTATTCTTAGAATCTTAAAACACGTTTAAAATGGATTTTCCCTTGGTTCTGCCAACAAATAAAATGTAATTACTATTTAGATCAGGGCAGGTATAGGTGGAACTTAATCTTTGCTTTAATTTTTTCTTAATATACATAGTATTCTTTGAAGAACACGATACTCAAAAATATGCTCTTCATTTCTCGTCTAGAAATAAGGATTTTGCAGTTAAGCTTCGCCGAATAAACGACGAATAAAAAAATATCATTACAATTGAGATCGGGTGGGTGGGCGGGGCTTATATTTTGCCTTTTTTTTTTCTCAATATACATAGCCATTTATTCACAACAAAAAACTTTAAACATGGTTAAAATGCTATATTTTTGCAAGGAAATATGGATTGCAATTGTCAAAAGTCGATATGAATTTCCGTATACAAATTTTCAATTTTAAACATATTTTAAGTTTAATGTTGTGAAAAGAAGTCTACATATATTAAAACAAAAAGGCAAAATGTAAGCCCGCCCACCCACCCTGCCTCAATTGTGATGATTTTTAGTATTCGCCGTGAACCAAGAGGGCGGAGCTTAACTGCAAAATACTTATTTCCTTACAAGAAATTAAAAACATGTTTTTGAGTATCGTGTTGTTCAAAAAATACTATGTACATTAAACAAAGGCAGAATATAAACCCCGCCCACCCACTCCATCTCAAATGTGATGGTTTTTTTATTCTTAGAATCTTAAAACACGTTTAAAATGGATTTTCCCTTGGTTGTGTCAACGAACAAAATTTCATTACTATTTAGATCAGGACAGGTATAGGTGGGGCTTAATCTTTGGCTTTAATTTTTTCTTAATATACATAGTATTCTTTGAACAGTACGATACTCAAAAATATGTTGTTCATTTCTCGTATAGAAATAAGGATTTTGGATTTAAGCTCCGCCTCCTTGGCTCACGACGAATAAAAAAATATTATCACAATTGAGATCGGGCGGGTGGGCGGGGCTTATATTTTTCCCTTTTTTTCTCAGATTCCGAAATTTTTGGAGTTTGTGAAACATTAGAATTTTAATAACTTTTAAATTCTTCCTAAACTTCAAAATTGTTAGAAACTTTCATCTCTTCAGAATTTTCAGAATCTTCAAAATCCTCGGAATCTTTAGAACTTTCAAAATCTTTTCGACTCTAAAATTTCTACAATCTTTGGAACCTTTGGAATCTTTGGTATCTTTGGAATCCATTTGCAAATTCTTCACAATCTTCTGGAACTTCAAAGTTCGCAGATTTTTTAGAATCTTCAGTTTTCGAAATATTCAGAATCTTGAGAAACGTTAGAATCTTCAGAACCTTTAGAACCCTTGGAATCTTGAAAAGTTTTAGAATCTTTAGAATCTTCGGGATCTTTAAGATCTTTAGGATGTTTTTTTTAATTTTTGGAACTTTTGGAATCTCTAAAACCTCGGAATTTCAGGATTTTTTAAATTTTCTGAACCTTCGATATTTTTATAATCTTCAGAATCTTCGTAATATTCAAAGTCTTCAGCCTTTTTGGAATCTTCAGCCTCCGAATTATTCAGAATCTTTGGAATCTTTAGTATTTCCGGAATCTGTAAGTCTCGAAATATCTGGAACGTTTAAAATATCTGGAATCTCTAGAGCCGCGAAATATCCGGAATTTTTGAAATTTTTGGAGTTTGTGAAACATTAGAATTTTAATAACTTTTAAATTCTCCCTAAACTTCAAAATTGTTAGAAACTTTCATCTCTTCAGAATTTTCAGAATCTTCAAAATCCTCGGAATCTTTAGAACTTTCAAAATCTTTTCGACTCTTTAAAATTTCTACAATCTTTGGAACCTTTGGAATCTTTGGTATCTTTGGAATCCATTTGCAAATTCTTCACAATCTTCTGGAACTTCAAAGTTCGCAGATTTTTTAGAATCTTCAGTTTTCGAAATATTCAGAATCTTGAGAAACGTTAGAATCTTCAGAACCTTTAGAACCCTTGGAATCTTGAAAAGTTTTAGAATCTTTAGAATCTTCGGGATCTTTAAGATCTTTAGGATGTTTTTTTTAATTTTTGGAACTTTTGGAATCTCTAGAACCTCGGAATTTCAGGATTTTTTAAATTTTCTCAACCTTCGATATTTTTATAATCTTCAGAATCTTCGTAATATTCAAAGTCTTCAGCCTTTTTGGAATCTTCAACCTCCGAATTATTCAGAATCTTTGGAATCTTTAGTATTTCCGGAATCTGTAAGTCTTGAAATATCTGGAACGTTTAAAATATCTGGAATCTCTAGAGTCGCGAAATATCTGGAATTTTTGAAATTTTTGGAGTTTGTGAAACATTGGAATTTTAATAACTTTTAAATTCTCCCTAAACTTCAAAATTGTTAGAAACTTTCATCTCTTCAGAATTTTCAGAATCTTCAAAATCCTCGGAATCTTTAGAACTTTCAAAATCTTTTCGACTCTTTAAAATTTCTACAATCTTTGGAACCTTTGGAATCTTTGGTATCTTTGGAATCCATTTGCAAATTCTTCACAATCTTCTGGAACTTCAAAGTTCGCAGATTTTTTAGAATCTTCAGTTTTCGAAATATTCAGAATCTTGAGAAACGTTAGAATCTTCAGAACCTTTAGAACCCTTGGAATCTTGAAAAGTTTTAGAATCTTTAGAATCTTCGGGATCTTTAAGATCTTTAGGATGTTTTTTTTAATTTTTGGAACTTTTGGAATCTCTAGAACCTCGGAATTTCAGGATTTTTTAAATTTTCTCAACCTTCGATATTTTTATAATCTTCAGAATCTTCGTAATATTCAAAGTCTTCAGCCTTTTTGGAATCTTCAACCTCCGAATTATTCAGAATCTTTGGAATCTTTAGTATTTCCGGAATCTGTAAGTCTTGAAATATCTGGAACGTTTAAAATATCTGGAATCTCTAGAGTCGCGAAATATCTGGAATTTTTGAAATTTTTGGAGTTTGTGAAACATTGGAATTTTAATAACTTTTAAATTCTCCCTAAACTTCAAAATTGTTAGAAACTTTCATCTCTTCAGAATTTTCAGAATCTTCAAAATCCTCAGAATCTTCGGAATCTTTAGAACTTTCAAAATCTTTTCGACTCTTTAAAATTTCTAGAATCTCTGGGACCTTTGGAATCTTTGGTATCTTTGGAATCCATTTGCAAATTCTTCAGGATCTTCTGGAACTTCATAGTTCGCAGATTTTTTGGAATCTTCAGTTTTCGCAATATTCAGAATCTTAAGAAACGTTTGAATCTTCAGAACCTTTAGACCCTTGGAATCTTGAAAATTTTTAGAATCTTTGGGATCTTCAAGATCTTTAGGATGTTTTTTTTTCATTTTTGAAACTTTTGGAATCTCTAGAAACTCGGAATTTCAGGATTTTTTAAATTTTCTGAACCTTCGACATTTTTATAATCTTCAGAATCTTCATAATATTCAGTCTTCAGCCCTTTTGGAATCTTCAGCCTCCGAAGTACTCAGAATCTTTGGAATCTTTAGGATTTCCGGAATCTCTAGAATCTCGAAGTATCTGGAACGTTTAGAATATTTGACATCTCTAGAGTCGCGAAATATCCGGAATTTTTGAAATTTCTGCAGTTTCTGAAACATTAGAATTTTTATAATTTTTAAATTCTTCCGAAACTTCAAAATTGTTAGAAACTTTGATCTCTTCAGAATTTTCAGAACCTTCAAAATCCTCAGAATCTTCGGAATAGCAATCTATTCACAAGAAAAAAATTCAAACATGGTCAAAATGGTATATTTTTGCAAGGAAATATGGATTTTGTAATTATGGGGCGGAGTCTAATAAAAAAATCGATATGTATTTCCTTTTACAAATTTTCAATTTTATACATATTTTAAGTTTAATGTTGTAAAAAGAAGTCTACACATTTAAAAAAAAAAGGCAAAATGTAACGCCGCATCGGAATTTCAAAATCGCAAAAATTATGGGTATAGCGAGTACCCTATTAAAAAAAAAAGTTGTGGCATCTCTCAGGAACACTCTTTATAATAATAATAAAAAAAAGTGGAAAATTCTAAAAATCGTCAAATTTCGTGTTGGAGACTTTGGGGACAGATCAGGAATTTTTCTAAGAAATGAAGGCCGAAATAACTTCATGAAATCGAAATATACAAAAATTCTGATTAGGTGATTTTCGAAGGTGCTGAAAAAAAGTCGAAAATGTCATGAAAAATTGAGTTTTTTGAAAAAGTAGAATTAAATTTTTTTGAAAATTCTAAAAATTCTCTCATTTCATTTTGACGATTCTGGGAAAATTTTCGAACACAAAGAGAATAATGTTTTATTTCAAAGAACTAAAATAACGACAATATTGAAAATTGTGATAAATTTAGATGTTTTATGAACACTCTGTATATTAAAATTAATTTTCCACCACAAAGTGCCTATTTCCGTTTATCTCTTCATAAAATATTGTAACACAAATGTTAAAAATAACACTATGACGATTTTTTATAACCCCTGCATTACTGAAGAAATTCAAAAAAATCGAAAAAAACGTGGCAACACCGCATCGGAATTTCACTACGGTTGTAAAGCCTAAGAATCAAAATATGTCATGTATTTCAAAATGAGGCATTTATTTATTTAAAAAACTAAGTCGTGCCATTTCTCAAAAACACCCTGTATAATTTAAAAAATTTCAAAATTCTAAATACTGTCACATTTCGTTTTTGAATTGATTTCATGAGGTCGAAATCTACAAAAAAATTTAACTAGGTAATTTCCGAAGGTGCTCGAAAAAAGGTTAAAAATGGCATGAAAAATTATAGTTTTTTTGGAAAAGCAACCTAAAATCCACAAAAAAATCACGGACAGAAATCTTGATGCGCTAAATGGTAAAACATACCATGTTGATGATACCGGACCAAGATTTTCGAAATATTTATATGCCATATTTCAATTGGGTGATTTTGAGAAAAGAGTTGCAATTTTGAAGAAAGAAGCAGTGATAAATAAAATACAGGTGTTCTATTTAAGAAAACAGAAATATCGACAATGTTGAAAATTGCTATTTTAGATTTTTTATGAACACTCTGTACATTAAAATTATTTTTATTATCATAAAATACTGCAACACACATGTTAAAAATGACACTATCGCCATTTTTTTGAATCTGTGTATTACTAAAAAAACTAACTTGTGCCACCTCTAAAAAACACCCTGTATAATTTAAAAGAAAATGAAAATTCTAAAAATTGCATTTTCATTTGGAGATTTTGGGGAAGATTAGGAATTTTGTAAGACATCTTTAGGAAATTTCGAAGGTTCTCGAATAGTCACCATATATAATAAGTTTTGCCTATTAGGATGTATACAGGGTGAGTTACTAAGCCAGTGTTCGAAATATCATTAGAGATGGGAACGATACTCAAAAGAAAGAGAAATAAGGATTTTGCAGTTAAGCTCCGCCCCCTTAGCTCACGACGAATAAAAAAAAAATCACAATTGAGATTGGGCGGGTGGGCGGGCTTATCTATTGCCTTTTTGTTTTAATATGTGTAGACTTATTTCGGCAACAAGAAACTTAAAACATGTCTAAAATTGCAAATTTTTGTCGTAATCAAATTAAATCCTCCACTTTTTTTATAACCCATTTAAATACGGCAAATTTAAACATTAAAGTTGCAATCAACGGCAACTTGGCAACGGAGTTTATAAATGACTAACTAGAGCAGAAATTTAGAAAATCACAGTGTTTTAACTCGTGTTTCACCATCAGCAGCTAAAAGTGTCCCGTAAAGTAGTTTTATTTTCTAATTATATTATAAATTATAAGAAACGACACCTATTTTTAGGTTGAAGTTTCTTATTCGATTCCTGGCACCCTAATTATAGATTTTATTGGAGCATCAAGCGATTTGTTTGTGTCATTTCACAAGACAAACTTTCCAAACTAATAAACTCGGTAGATATATGGCTTTGTGTTTTATTTTTGTGCATAAATTTTAGTAACTTTTTCGATAGGAAGTGTTTTGTGTCGCTATGGTGGCACTTCTGACATATTTTATTGCTACAGTGTGTAGTAATGTAAAGCAAAGTTTATTCATGCCATTTATAAACTTTCTGAAGTCATGATTCCTCCAAGCTTAGCTCTTTGCTTTCTATTTGGCAAATACGATAAACGAAATTTTACACTTTTAAGATTAATGCCACACTAGGAAGGCAAAAGTTACTGCTACCCTTCTTATTTTGTCTGACACATTAGCTAACTCTCTCGTATCTGTAAATAGGTTGCCAACCCGACAAAAATCACAATTATTGTCACTCGGTATAGTCTAAGTTCAAGGCCACCCGTGATCTTCAGTCTCCACTTCCCACTGTCAAACTTGTCACTTGTCAAACTTCCCGTCCCTCCTTGTCAAAATTCTCCGTGTGTCTTCGTCCCCCAAAAATGGAAGTGAAAGTGATTTCCATAACAGGCCAAGAGAACGTCTTATCGGTGGACCCCACCGACACCATCCTCAGCCTCAAGGAAAAACTCGAAGGCTGCGAAGGTGTGGGTTTTCCGCCAGACCAACTGCGCCTGATTTACAAAGGCAAAAAACTCCAAGACGACCGAACCGTCGAAAGCTACAAAATAAAAAACGGCGGTATTCTTAAACTAGTCATAGCCCTACGCAGCGGAATTTTCTTTATTTACCGATTTCAATAAACGTTGACAACTCACCGTGTTTTCTTTACCTTCCAGGCGACGTTTACCAGACGTGGCTGCAGTTACGTTATGACCATCTCGCTCTATCCAGCGACGTCAAAACCCTGTTACAAAAACTGCGCCAGCACTACTTCGTTGGTTTGATTACCAACGGTACTTCCCGTGCCCAGTGGGAGAAGATCTCGTTGCTGCACTTGGAGAAGTTTTTCGATGTGGTCGTGGTGTCCGGGGACCTCCCGTGGGAGAAACCGCATCGAAAGATTTTCCACGTAGCTTGCGATTATTTGGGGGTGGAGCCTCAGCAGTGTATCATGGTGGGGGACAAGCTGGAGACGGATATCTTAGGGGGACTGGAGGCGAATCTGGGTGGGACGGTGTGGGTGCCGTTGAGCAGTATCGAAATGGGGGAGGAGGACCCCAGGCCCGACTACGTTCTCAAGAACGTAATCGACCTTCCGAGTCTCTTGCCCAAAAACCCGAAAGTACCTAGGTTTAGGTCGAAGCTGAGGGTGAGCATGCCTGATCTGGACGACAGTAATAGCAATGGGAGCGACGGGAGTTAAGTCAGTACATGGTTCAGTATTCGTTGTGTGAAACCAAAGGTTGTGTATAGTCGGGTTTGCCCTGACTTGTACAATGATTGGTACAAAAATCTCAGCTGTTGTGATAGTTTCGAAATTCGCTGTGAATTAATGGCTGACTAGTTAGGTTAAGTAGATCGTAAGTATATTTTCTTAGGAGATTTTAAAACGAATTGAAGCGAGGTTTACAAATTGAGATACGGGTTTCGTTTTTTCGTTGTGTTCACTACTTATTTTCGTAAGACTCTGATGAAATGTATTGAGATTGAGGGGTAGGTGCATTGTTATTGTTGTTAGATAGGTATTTAAGACGAAAACAGAAGTTATTAGTAAAGCTTTAAAATAATATGTGCAATTCGGACGAGGGTCCATGTTGTGCAACAATCAGACACAGAAGTCATCTGATGGTAATGAAGTGCAAATAATAATTATTATTTTCTTTTAATAAGGATTCATTTAAGTTGGTGTGGGATATAATAGTGTAACGAATTTTTAAATAACCGCTGTATATCAGAATTAATTAAGTTTTGACACAACCCATAGTATTACTGTATTATGCTATCAACATTCAATACTAAGATAGTATCCCTATGTACAAATACCACATTAATGTAGTGTAAACAAATGTAACAAGCGCCCAACTTATTAGCTGTATCATTATCATCATATTACCTATGCATAAACCTTATATTTTCATGTACTTTTATAAAGATAACAAATCGGTAATAAAATGTCGCATGAAGTACTCAGTCGTATTACCAACCTAAACCCCGATTCAACTCGAACACCAACAATTTCTCCCATTCATGGTGACTTGAACCATTGTTTAAGTATATTATAGTTGGACAACCTAATACAAATTTTACTTCGCCTAAATAGTGAGCTTTAGGACAAGGAATCCAGGAGGCGTGGGACAAATTTTTCATCAACGCGCATTTTCACTACAGTGAGCCAATGTATTAGGTTTATTTTACTCTACATCAGATGGCGCCATCAAACATTAGCAAAGGCAAACACCCTTCATTCTGCTCTTATACGAGGAGTTATCCATAAATCCATAATTAACATTGTTCCGTAAACAGTAATGTGTATAAACATTTATGTACAAAATATGAAAATATACTTGACATTAAAAATATGAAGCAACGCGTTGTAACGTGATACGAAAGAATTGTATTTAAATGAATTTGACGCCTATTTTTATTTGACTATATCTGAAGACTGACAGAAACTTTCCAAGGGTTTTTAAACTGGTATAATTGTTTAGTTTTACAAGATTTAGTAAGATTTAGATTTGTGGTGTTACAAAAATATTAACACAAAATGAAAATATATATTCAAAGTAAATAACAGAATGACATAAACTTTGGGCGTTGACATTACAAATAATTACAAGACAGAAAAACACGCATTAAGAATTTAAGAGGCATGTTTGTAATATCGAGTTGTTAAAGGCTGCTTTGAAGACTGTTTGTTTCTATGAAAAACAATTGCTGTTATCCGACGTTTTGGTAGATTTTGTTCCAAAAATACGAGATAACTAATTGTTTCTTGAACTAGTTTCCGTAACTTCTAAAATTTAAAAAGGATACGCCGTTCTGCTGTAGTAAAATCTAGAATAAGGTCAAAATCAGACTAATATTACATCTAATTTTGTCAACCACATGAATATAATTTACATTAAAATAAGTTACAGACATTGTTTGAAATGTTTATTATATTTCGAAAACAAGATAAAATAAATAAATAAAATGTGCAATTTATAAACTTCAGAATATTGAGATTTTTCGACTTTTCGATTTCTCGATTTTTCAACTTTAAATGTCTCAATTTTTCAATATTTCAATTTTAGGCTTTTCCAATTCTTCCATTCTTCAAATTTTCCATTTCTCGATTTTTTTATTTTTCGATGTTTCAATGATAGGATTTCTCAATTTTTGTCCTCTTCAATTTTACGGTTTTTAAATATTTCAAATTTTCACGTTTCTAAATTTTCGGTTTTTCGATTTTTAACATCTTCAATTCTTCAATTTTTCGATTTTTTAAGCTTACGATTTTTCGATTTTGCTTTTTTTGAATTTCGATTTCTCAATTTTCCAATTTTTTAATTTCTCAATTTTTTGAATATTTCTTTCAGTTACGAGATTATCAATATTTCAATTTTTCGACTTTTCGATTTTTGAATTGATGGATTTTTTTTGATTTCTCGATTTTTTACTTTTTGGATTTTCAAGTTATTGTAAACTTTAGATTTTTCAATTCTGCGACTGTTTTATACTTCGATTTCTCAATTTTTCAACTCTTCGATATTTTAATATTTCATTTTTTAAAACTCTAGGTTTTTCGATACCTCGAGTTTTCAATTCTTCTATATTTCAATTTTTCGATTTTTTTAATTTTAATTTTCGATTTTCCAGTTTTTCTTTTTTAAAATTTTTCGATTATTCAATTTTCTAATTTCTCAATTTATCGAATTCAGATGTTTCGTTGTTCTGATTGTTCAATTTCTCAATTTATCAATTTTTCAATTTTTAACTTTCCTTTTCGGCTTCCGACTCCTCCATTTGTCGATTCTCCGATTTTTCGATTTCTCGATGTCTCAGTTTTTGAATTTTTCGATGTTTCGATCTTTGGATTTCTCGGTTTTTCGATTTTTTTCTTTTGAGCTTTTCAATTTCTGGATTTTCCAATGTTTCAATGTCCCGATTTTTCAATTTTTTAATTTTTTAAATTGAATTGGATTTCTCGATTCTTCAGTTTTGCGATATTTTAATTGTTCAGTGTTTTAAATTTTAGATTTTTCGATTTCTCGATTTTTTGACTTTTCAGTTCTTCAGTATTTAAATTTTTCAATTTTTCAAATTTTTACGTTAAATTTTCAGTTTTCTGATTTCTCAAAGAATCTATTTTTGATTTTCCCACATCTCTCGATTTTTCAGTTCTTCAATTCTTCGATTTTTCGACTTCGTTTTATTGGTTTTTCGATTTCTCAATTTTTGGACATTTATTTCAGTTTTCAGTATTTTTCAATACTTCGATTCTTTGATTTTTCACTTTTTCATTTATTGTATTTTCGATTTTTCAATTTTTCGATTGTTTTATATTTCAATTTCTCAATTTTTCAACTTTTCCATATTTTAATTTTTAAATTTCTAGATTTTTCGGTTTCTCTAGTTTCCAGTTTTATATTTTAATTTTTCAAATTTCCGAATTTTTAAATTTTTTGAGATCTCAATTTATTGAAATTCGGATGTTGTGATGTTTTGATTGTTCAATCTCTCGTTTTATCAATTTTTCCATATTTTTGGCCTATTTCGGTTTTTCAATTTTTCCACTCCTAGATTTTTTGGTCTTTTGATTTTTCGATTTCTCGATGTCTCAATTTTTGAATTTTGCGATGTTTCGATTTTTCGATTTGTTGGTTTTTCGATTTTTTGCTTTTCGGTTTTTCGATTTTTCGATGTTTCGATTTTTGATTTATCCGCTTTTTCAATTTTCCAATTTTTTAAATTTTCGACTTCTCGATTCGTTGATTTTTAAATTTTATATTTTCGAATTTTTATTTTTTTGATTTTTTGATGTTTGGATTTCTCCATTTTTCAGTTTTAGGATATTTTAATTTTTCAATGTTTTAAATTTTAGATTTTTCAATTTTTCAGTTCTTCAATATTTTTTTATTTTTCAAATTTTGACGTTTCTGAATTTTTAATTTTCGGATTTCTCAATTAATCTTATTTTTTTATACTCCCATTTCTCCATTTCCCAAAGTTTCGATTTTTCAGTTCTTCAGTTCTTCAATTTTTCGATTATTCAGGTTTTTGATATTTCAATTTTTCGATTTTTTAAGTTTGCGATTTTTCGACTCTGCTTTTTTGACTTTTCTGTTTCTCAATTTTTTAGTTTCCTAATTTTTGGATATTTCGTTCAATTTTGTGATTTTTCAGTTTTTCGATTTCTCAGTTTTAACTTTTCAATTTTTAAATTATTAGTTTTTTTCGATATTTTGAGTTTTCAGTTCTTCTATATTTCAATTTTTCAATTTTCGGAATTTTTAAATTTTCGATTGTCCAATTTTTTTTATTTTTCGATTTTCCAGTTTTTCGATGTTTGGATTTTTGAATTAACCGATTGTTCAATTTCTCGATTTTTAAATTTTAGATTTTCCAATTTTTATTTTTTTGATTTTTTTATTATTCGATTTCGAGGATTTACGTACGTTTGCTTATTTTGTGACTGCTACCCATACAACGTACTGACTAATACGTCCGTTTACTACCTTATCGACATCACGTGCTTGCAGACTATTTTTACTCCCTTTCGTAAGGTACCGCCACTTCATAGTGAAGCGAGTGAGATGTAAAATATATGTTCATTCTTTTCTACATGGGAAAGTGATTGTCCGTATAGGTTGTCCAACTATAATATACTTAAACAATGCTTGAACGTTACCAACTTATTTTTCCCGCCAAAATTCAAACCAAGTCAGAATTGACACTCTTTAGTGTCAATCTTCATGTTGTTCGTCAAAATTGTCCGTGTTTTTCGTTCTTAAAATGTTGATAAAAGTAGTAACTTTGACTGGCGAAGAAAAACTGATCGACGTGGAACCCTCCGACAAGATCATCTCCATTAAAGAAAAACTAGAAGAACGCGAAGGGATACCACCTGAACAACAACGCTTAATCCACCAAGGCAAGCAATTAAAGGATGATCGGACCATAGAAAGCTACAAGTTTAAAGGTGGCGCCATTCTCCATCTTGTGGTAGCACTGCGCGGAGGGTTTGTACTCATTCTTTGATCTTAAAACAAAAATAAACACCACCAGTTCAAGTATTTCGAGTTTTTTTTCGCTTCAACACTACAAACCACGTGATCACGAGTTTCCCGCCCAAATTTGAAATGAAACCTCTTCAGTACCAATAGTTTATTGATTAAATGTTACAAACATACATCTATTAGCTACAAAATATCCACACTGTACCTGCCTCAAGAATCATTGGCAGCTGTGCACGATCAGTGACAATACGAACTAGTTTCGTTACAAACTAAATTAATATTAGCACTTCACCAATTGGCCTGTAGGGCTTAGAAAATCAGTCAGTTAATTACTCGACACACTGTTACAATATTTTACATGTATTTTCAGCAATGGCAAACGACACCTTTTTGTTAAAATAAAAGTCTTTTGGATGTCACAATATCCTACAAGCATTCTTTAAGACGTTCTTCTTCTTTTTATGCTTGTTGGGCCTCAATACTATCGTTCCGTTGTGGTTTTTGGAAGAATGACTAGGGCTGAAGGCACCTGGAACACGCAAATATGTATTATGAAATTTTTGAGGTGTGGACGTACTGATTGTAAGCGAATTGGGGTGGTGAGGTGTGGGGGTGGTGAAATAGTCATAATCTCGAGGATCTCGAAGTTCTGCAAGGCACCGCGCCGCCAGGTGCCGGAACACGGCGGCGACGTTGACGTCTTCTTTGACGGATGTCCTCAGCAGGCGGCAGCCGAGGGCACGGGCCAGAAGGTCAGCTTCTTCCCTAAAAAGAAGAAACGTTGGAAATGGTGTATAGGCAACCCATAATACTTCTGTGTATCATCGTCAAAACTATGACGGATCAAAAGTGTAGTTTAAATTAAATGACGGTTGAGGACTCCTCGACTTATGTTGGCAACAGTGTTTGTTTCTAACTAGGAATAAAATTAACTAGAAAAAATGTCATAATATTTTTAACGACGCGTTTTACTTTTAATTGACACTAATTTAATCAGAATATTACAAGCTGCATGTTTCCTTCACTTTAATTCAGGTTCGATTTCTCGATTTTTCATTTCAGTTCTTCGATATTTCAATTTTTCAAGTTTTCGAATTTTCCAAGTGTTTCGGTTTCTTAATCGTTTAATTTTTCGACTTCCCGGTTTTAGATTTTCACTTGTCATTTTGTCAATTTTTGACTTTTATAAACTTTTTATTTGTCGATTTTTCAGTTAATTGATTTTTCAGGTTTCGATTTTTCAACTTGATTTTTTTGATTTTTCGATTTTTCATTTTTCAATTTTTTAATTTTGGGATTTTTCAGTTTTTCGATTCGTCAGTTTTTCTTTCATTTTTCAGTTTTTCGATATTTCAGTTTTGGGATTTTTCAATATTTCTGTTCTTCGACTTTTCCATTTTAGAATTCTCAATTTTTTAGTATTTTAATTTTTCAATATTTAAAATTTTAGATTTTTCATTTCAGCTCTTCCATATTTCAATTTTTCAAATGTTTCGATTTCTTAATCTTTCGATTTTTCGGTTTTACTTCCCGAGCGTAAGCAAAGGAAGTATTGTAATCGAGTCCGTCGGCCGACTCTCTACTTTTACGTTTTCTCGATCTTTCATGACCCCTAGAAGACGAAGAAATAGGTCTCCCATTTCCGTCTGTCTGTCCGTCTGTCCGTCTGTCCGTCTGTCCGTCTGTCCGTCTGTCCGTCCGTCTGTCCGTCTGTCCGTCTGTCCGTCTGTCCGTCTGTCCGTCTGTTGTCACGGATTTTTATTAGACAGATAATCTCCGAAAGTACTCGACCGATTGTTGTGAAATTTTGTACTTATATTAAGATTATCATGTAGATGGTAAAACGCTAACCAAAATTTGTCGAATCATCCCCACCACTAAAGCGATGACGTCACTTCAAAATTGTACATAGTAAATGGGTTTTCAATTGTATAAAATAACATAGTCCTACACATGTAGTTTACAACTCTGAATCGACTTTTCACCCGAAACGTCCAGATTTTTGGAAAAAAAATCAAAATTATAAAACAACATTTTGAAATTTAATTTTTAATCTGCTAACCAGAATGCTTTGAAATGTTGCAGATGTTTTAAGGCTATAAAGAGCATCATAAATCTTTAGTCAAAAAATATTTGCTTATCCCCTCCAAAAACTTGATGACGTCAGCTCAAAAGTTTGTGGAATAAATCATATCTAAAATGTACAAAATATGATGAGTCTGTACTTGTGAACTATCACTCCATTAATATTTTTTGGATTTGCATATACAGGGTGACTCAAAAAAATTAATGAATGCGTAAATATATTTTATTGATTTAATCAGGAACTACAAAACCGAATGCTCTGAAATCTTGCAGATGTTTTAAGGTCATAAAGAGCATAATAAATGTTTAGTCAAAATATATTTGCTTATCCCCTCCAAAAACTTGATGACGTCAGCTCGAAAGTTTGCCGAATAAATCATATCTAAAATGTACAAAAAATGATGAGCCTGTACTTGTCATTTATCACTCCATTCATATTTTTTGGATTTGCATATACAGAGTGACTCAAAAAAATTAATGAATGCGTAAATTTATTTTATTGATTTAATCAGGAACTACAAAACCGAATGCTTTGAAATCTTGCAGATGTTTTAAGGTTATAAAGAGCGTAATAAATTTTTAGTCAAAATATATTTGGTTATCTTCTACAAAAAACTGATGACGTCAGCTCAAAAGTTTTCCGAATAAATCGTATCTAAAATGTACAAAATATGATGAGTCTGTACTTGTGATTTATCATTCCATTCATATTTTTGGATTTGCATATGCAGGGTGACTCAAAAAAATTAATGAAGGCGTGAATTTATTTTATCGATTTAATCAGGAATTACAAAACCGAATGCTTTGAAATCTTGGGAATATTTTAAAGTTATTATGAGCATGGTAAACTTTTGTTCAAAATGTATTTGTTCATCCCTCCTAAAAAAATTGATGACGTCACCCTTAAATTTTGCTGAATAAATCCTATCTAAAATGCAAAAAATATGATGAGTTTGTACTTGTGATTTATCATTCCATTCATATTTTTTAGATTTTCTTAATAGGTGGTTCAAAAAAATTAATGAAGTCAATTTATTTTATTGATTAAATTAAAGGCAACACTTATTATTAGTATTACACCCCAACCAACCCAATTTGGTAGACACAAAATTTGTTAAAGGAAAAACTCGGTTGAAACATAAGGGTAGCACGCTTATTTACATCGACTTTAACATTACAGACCTGCATTTGTTTTATGCGTTCACTTGATTCCGCGAATGTGAAATAGACATGTTTATAATCAACCAATTGTGAATTTCACCGTCAAGAATTAAAATAAAACCCAATGTTTTATATAATAAGCGGAAGTCGAAGCAATAAAACCGACGGTCGTTTTGTTTACAGTTTCTGTGTTTGGCTCTCACGTATGCTGTTACGCCTGTCATCTTAAATTAACAATGTTTATACATACACGATTTTCAGTTGCCTCTGATACGTAGGTATACGTGAGTAAATTGTTTCGTTATTTTATTGATTATTACAAATCAATATTCAAACGACCCAATTCATTTTCCCGAAAATTTGAGAATATAATAATTTTATTCTTAGTATTACACTACATCTATCCCAACTGATATACGTGTCCTTGCAAAAATGTTGATGACGTCATCGCAATTTTTTTTTAAATTCCCACTACAAAAATGTAATGAGAAAAAAAACACAATAGGTATGCAGTCGTCAAGTTTCCGACAGCGAGGGAAGTACTGTCTAAACTCTTTAGACCAATTTTTTAAATTTTAGATTTTTCAGTTTTTGATATTTTAATTTTTCAATATTTAAAATTTTAGATTTTTCGATTTCTCGATTTTTCATTACAGTTCTTCGATATTTCAGTTTTTCAAGTTTTCGAATTTTTCAAATGTTTTGATTTCTTAATCTATCTATTTTTCGACTTCCCTGTTTTAGATTTTCTGTTTTTCAACTGCCGTTTTTTCAAATTTTCGATTTTTCAATTTTTCAAATTTGACATTAATTTATAAACTGTCACTTTTTGGATTTTTCAATTAATCGATGTTTCGATTTTCCCATTTCTTGACTTTCGAGGGTTTCGATATTCCTGTTCAATTCTTTAATTTTTCGATTTTTCAGGTTTTTGATTTTTGGTTTTTCAGTTTTTTAAGGTTTCGATTTTTCGACTTCACTTTTTGGATTTTTCGACTTTTTAGGTTCTCAGTTTTTGGATATTTCAGTTTTCAGATTTTTCAGGTTTATCATTTTTCAGTTTTTCTTTCATTTTTCAGCTTTTCAATATTTCAGTTTTGGGATTTTTCAGTATTTCGATTCTTCGACTTTTCGATTTTTGACTTTTGGAGTTTCGATGGGTCGATTTTTTTACTTTTTCGACTGCTTAATCTTTCGATTTTTCGACTTGCCGGTTTTAGATTTTCTGTTTTCAATTGTCATTTTAAATTTTTCGATTTTTCAATGTTTTGATTTCCCGATTTAGTTTCCCATTTTTGGTTTTTCTTTCATTTTTCAGTTTTACGATATTTAAGTTTTGGGATTTTTCAATATTTCGATTCTTCGACTTTTCGATTTTTGACACCTGGATTTTTCGATGTGTCGATTTTTCAATTTTTCGATTTTTAAATTTTATCGACAAAGTGAGAAATCGAAAAGTCGAAAACTGGAGTCGAATAATTGAAAATTTGAAAAATTGAAAAATAGAAAAACGATAACACGAAAATTTAAAACATTTAATTGAAAAACTGAAAAATCGAACCACTGAAAAGTCAAAAAATTGAGAAATAGGAGAATAAAAAAAAATTTAGAAACGTTATAAACTGAAAATGGAAAAATCCAGAAATGCAAAAGTTGTAAAAATTAAAATATGTATTGAAAAATTGAGAAATCGAAAACTTGAAAAGTCGAGAAATCTAAAAATCCAAAAATTTGAAAAATTTTAAAAGTAGAAAAACCGGATCGTCAATAAATCAAAACATTACAAAATTGTAAAAACGAAAAATTGAAACATCAAAAAACTGAAAAATCAAAAATTTAAAAATCCGCAACATTGAAAAATATATCGGAGAACCGAAAAATCGACAAATCGATAAATCGAAATTTGTAAAATTAAGAAAAATTAAAGTAGCGAAATATTGAATACTAGAAAAATTGAAAAATCGAGGAATCGAAAAGTGGCAATTTCAAAAATCTAAAATTTGTAAAATAGAAAAAGGGAAAACCGAGAAATCGAAAATCCAAAGTTGAAACAATCGAAAAATTGAAAAATCAAAAATCAAAAATCAAGAATGTGAAAAACTGAAACATCAAAAAAATGGAAAATCGAATAACCGAATAGCCGAAAACAAAAAAATCAAAGAACTGAAAAATCGAAAAATAGAGAAACCGAAAAATGTAATGTCTTCATAATTGAAAAATTAAAATTTCGGAAAATTGAAAATTGAAAAATTGACAAATCAAAACAAAAAATCGAAAAAATGGAAAATCTAAAATTTTAAAATCCAAAAACTAAAAAAACGAAAAAATATTGAAAAATGCCGAAACTAAAACACCGAAAAATTGAGAAATCGAAAAATCTAAAAATGGAAGTCGAATAATAATAATAGAAAATTTGAAAAATCGAAAATGGAAAAACGAAGACCCGGAAATTCGAAAACTTGAATTGAAAAACTGAAAAATCGAAACACTGAAAAGTCAAAAAATTGAGAAATGGGAAAATCAAAAAATCGAATCGATTTCTGACTCCTGAATTTTTAGAGGTGTCGATTTTTTTACTTTTTCGATTTTTCGATTTTTTAATTTTAGATTTTTTGATTTTTAAAATTTCAGATTTTTCGATTTCTCGATTTTTCATTTCAGTTCTTCGATATTTCAATATTTCAAGTTTTCGAATTCTTAAATTAATCTTTTGATTTTTCGACTTCCCGGTTTTAGATTTTCTGTTTTTCAATTGTTATTTTGTCAAATTTTCGATTTTTTAATTTTTCAAGTTTGACTTTTATAAACTCTCAATTTTTCGATTTTTCAATTAATCGATGTTTTGATTTTCCCATTTCTTGACCTTCGAGTGTTTCGATTTTCCTGTTCTTCAGTTCTTTAATTTTTTGATTTTTCAATTTTTTGATTTTTCAAGGTTTCTATTTTTCGAGTTCACTTTTTTATTTTTCGATTTTTCAGTTTTTAGATACATATATCAGTTTTAGGATTTTTCAATATTTCAATTCTTCGGCTTTTTTATTTTTGACTTCTGGATTTTTCGATTTTTTACATTTTCGATTTTTCAATTTTTGGATTTATAAACTTTAGATTTTGCGACTTATGTTTAATTTTTCAATATTTCTTAATCTTTCGATTTTTCGACTTCCTGATGTTCTGTTTTTCAATTTTTCGATTTGTTAATTTTTCATTCCCGATTTATCGAGATTTGATTGTTCAGGTTTTCGATTTATCAGTTTTTCAATTTTTTATTTTGACGTATTTCGGTTTCCCAGTTTTTCCAGTTTTCCATTTTTTCGTTTTTTGATTTTTTCTCTTTTCCAATTTTTCAACTTTTAATTTTTTGTTTGTCGATTTCTCTATTTTTCGATTTTTCGACTTCATCACTTTTCGATTTCTCGTTCTTTTGATCTCTCAATCTCCCAATTTTTCAATTTTTCGAATTTTTAAGCTTTTTGATTTCTCGATTTATCTAAATTTGGATTTTTCGATATTTTGATTGTCAATTTCTCAATTTATAAATTGTTTAATTTATAACTTTTCGATTTTGGCCTACTTCGGTTTTCCAATTGTTCGATTTCTTGATTTTTTGATTTTTCGATTTTTCAGTTATCCGATTTTTTAAATTTGGTAGTTTCGATTTCTCGATTTTTCGTTATTCGGTTTTTAAATTTTACATTTTTTCGATTTTCAGTTCTTCGATATTTCGAAACAACTATTTCCCGCAGAAATGATAGTCCTAACCAACCAAATCGCTTCTGAACGCTTAGAGTCGACATTGGCCTGAGCGCGCTCTGGTCTGTAAATCAAACAAGTTCTCAGGCGACGAGTTGTAGTGAAACAAGTTTTTGTCAATAAGGGTGGGTTTGCAAAATAAGCCTGTATGTCGCATCTATATAAATCTATGACGGTACCAACGTGATAAATTATCACTAGAGAGCGCAATAAAAACAAGAGTTAGTGTCATTTCGAAGTTACGTAACCTAACTTCGAATGACAAATAAGGTACTTAAACTTTCACTACGATTTGTCCGTGTTTATAGCACTAGATACATTTTTGTTGTTTGTCGAAATTTTATTTCATTGAGTTCTGACCTTTTTAAACTACTTGAATAACCTTATTTAATCCAAGACAGCGCGCTGTAGTTTTCTGTAGCGTGAATTTATTACAAAGAATTTCAACCCCATTAATTCTTGGAAAAGCGTCTGGCCGTCCAGTCCCTGACGTCACAGCGGCTACTTCAACCCCATAAATCGGGCAAACGATCGCGTGCCGCTCTCCACTATTTTTGGTCAGACCGAATAAAATTTATGCGCCTTAACCACATTTAATAGTCGTGATTTTCCTCCGGTCGCCGGAATGCGAATAATAAACTCAATTTCCAATTAAACTAGCCGCCATACCAGACGAAGTATGCAAATGAGAATGTTTACAGTTAGTGCAGACTTGACAAATCTCGTTCAACTGTCCACCTCGAGCACCAATAACTTAACTTAAGCCGGCTTACTATAATTCAATTAGTCAACGCTAATCCTGTCATACGCGCATTTTGAGCTTCCGTTTCCGCCTGCAGCGCCATCTAAGTCGCGCTGTTGGGGTTGTGGGGAGCGGTTGCGGAGGTAGCTATAATAAAGACACGTTTATGGCTCTATCCAGCCGTAAATAAGATTGTAATATTCGAGTTATGCCACACGCATCTAGTCCTCATTAGCATATTATGGTCCGGTACCGTAATCGCCTATCTAATGACTGGAAACGAATGTCCTTAAGGCCGTTTTGCGAAAAAAAGGCCGTTTATGCAACTTACGGATTAACGACGCTCTGGTCCATCAGGTCGATTTTGTTTTGTACGATGACGGTTGGAATCTCGCCACACTCGTTTTCAACCTGTAAAATAAATATACATTTATAATAAGGACTGCGAAATGACATCTCGTAAAAATGGATGTTGAAACTGCCGTCGGGATTAAACACTCGGGACGCCGTTATGCGAGTTGTTTTGTTTGTGGTGGGCAAATAGCAGAGTCATGGTTGGTGATTAATTTTACGGTGAGAGTGTGCTATACTTGGCACATCCTGTACGGATCATTAGAGGAATCGGCGAGGCTGAGTGAAATGTTTGAAAGGTGGAACTTTTTCTGTTTGTGTGACTATTATTAGGTTCAAAAATTACTTTGAGTTTCCATGAATGTGCGGCTTCGAACGAGTCCCTGTCTATCGTCGAAAACGCAAGAACACATGCTTGAGCACCTCGGTAGTAGGCTTTGGTGATGGCATCGAATTCTTCCTGTCCTGCGGTGTCCCACAACATCAGGCGGACTTCTTCACCATCGACCCTGCATAAACACACCAAAAAGAATAGAATAGAAAATACACTTTTTGTCCAATAAAATTAGTGATCAGAAATAAAACTGGGTGGGTGGGCGGGGCCACTTTGAATTTTTATAAGCATAGATTGGGCCACTAGACAACTTTTGAAGTTCATTTAATTAGATTCGACCATTGCCAAAATAGAATTCAACTTTCATCTTCCAATAAATAAAATAAGCCAATGAAATGCAGACGCAGATGGGTGGGATTAATTTTACCTTTTAGTGTCTTTTACTATTGTTTGTCAATATAAAACTCACTTTTTCGTCTTACAACAATAAAATTTTGATTCGATTTTGAAATCTTGCAGATGTTATCAATTTATGGTAAGTATAATAATTTTTTAATGAAATATATTCGCTTATCCCGTCCAAAAAATTGATGACGTCATCTAAAAATGTTGCCGGATAAATATTATCTAAAATATGCAAAATATGATGAGTCTATACATATGATTTATCATTGCATTAATATTTTTTAGATTTGCTTAAACAAGGTGATTCAAAAAAAAATAATGACTGAATTGTTAAAAAATAAAGATCCAGTCAGATTTAGGAATTTAACTCGTTACCAAGGCAACTTGCAATTTAACACCTTTTAAATTTAACAAGTTTAGAAGTTTAATAGGGGCAAAATTATCTTATCTTAGCAGTGCTAGCTCCGCCCCCCGCCTATTTTCTCAGAGGACATGTCATTTGCCAAAATCAGTCTTATCTTAGCAAGTACTATCCCCGCCCACCCACCCCTATTTTTTCAGAGGATGTCATTTGCCAAAATCAGTCTTATCTCGGCAAGTATTATCCCCGCCCACCCGCCCCTATTTTCTCAGAGGATGTCATTTGCCAAAATAAGACTTATGTTAGCAAGTATTACCTTCTGAGTAAATAAAGGGGAGGAGATTTTGCCCCTATGCCAACTATGATTTTTTCATGTTCGTGTACGCTGAAAATTAATGTATTATGGGAATTTGAAAATGTCTACTGCCAATTATGTTTTAACTAAATATATTCATTTAGTTTTCAAAACATAAGAAATATTTCTAATATTTTGAACATTTTGGATTTTAAGTGTCAACACTGAATTTTCTTAACATTTTCTGATTAATTTAACATTTTCCTTTTATTCTTCAAAACACTCAATGTGTCTTTCCACATTCAAACTCTCATTCTTCCCTAATATTTGAAAAGTCGCATGTTTAGTGAGCACAGAATTAATCGAAGAATCTCTTTTCAATCAAAGAAAATTTACTTTTTGTTGCTTCTTTTTTCACAAAAATTTTACTTTTTACTCAACTATGATTTTTCATGTTTCTACACTCTGAAAATTAACGTATTATGAGAATTTTAAAGTCTTCACTGTCAATTATATTTCAGATGTTTAAGCCAAATATATTCATTGAATTTTCAAAACGTAAGAAATGTTTCCAATATTTTGAACATTTTGGATTTTGAATTATTGAATTTTCTTAAAATTTTCGTTTTATTTTTCTGACTAATAAAATGTGCAAAATATGATCAGTCTATGCTTGTGTTTTATCACTGCATTCATATTTTTTTAATTTGCTTATACAGGGTGTCTCAGAGAAATTAATGACTGGGTTGTTAAAAAATAAATATCCAATCAGATTTAGGAATTTAACTCGTTACTATGGAAATATGCAAATTAATACCTTTTAAATTTAACAAGTTTTTACAAGTTTAATAGGGGCAAAATCAGTCTTATCTTAGCAAGTACTATCCCAGCCCATCTGCCAAGTACTTGGTAACATAAGTTTTATTTTGCAGATGATATGTTCTCTGAAAAAGTAGGGGGCGGGTGGGCGGGGCTAGTACTTGGTAAGATAAGGTTGATTTTGGCAAATAATATATCTTCTGGGAAAAAAGGGGGCGGGTGGGCGGGGCTAGTATTTGCTACGATAAGATCGATTTTGGCAAATGATATATCCTTTGGGAAAAAATTGCAAATTTTCTGTATCTTTTCACTTTTAAACTATCTTTTAAATCAAAGAATATTTACTTTTTGTTGCTTCTGTTTTCACGAAAATTTTATTTTTGACTCAACTATGATTTTTTCATGTTCGTGTACGCTGAAAATTAATGTATTATGGGAATTTGAAAATGTCTACTGCCAATTATGTTTTAACTAAATATATTCATTTAGTTTTCAAAACATACGAAATATTTCTAATATTTTGAACATTTTGGATTTTAAGTGTCAACACTGAATTTTCTTAACATTTTCTTTTTATTCTACAAAACACTCAATGTATCTTTTCACATTCAAACTCTCATTCTTCTAATATTTGAAAAGTCGCATGTTTAGTGAGCGCAGCATTAATCGAAGAATCTCTTTTAAATTAAAGAAAATTTACTTTTTGTTGTTTCTTTTTTCACAAAAATTTCACTTTTTACTCAACTATGATTTTTCATGTTTCTACACTCTGAAAATTAGCGTATTATGAGAATTTTAAAGTCTCCACTGCCAATTATATTTCAGATGTTTAAACCAAATATATTCATTCAATTTTCAAAACGTAAGAAATGTTTCCAATATTTTGAACATTTTGGATTTTGAATATCATTATTGAATTTTCTTAAAATTTTCGTTTTATTTTTCTGATTAATAAATTGTGCAAAATATAATCAGTCTATGCTTGTGTTTTATCACTGCATTCATATTTTTTTTAATTTGCTTATACAGGGTGTCTCAGAATTTAATGACTCGGTTGTTAAAAAATAAATATCCCATCAGATTTAGGAATTTAACTCGTTTCTATGGAAATATGCAAATTAACACATTTTAAATTTAACAAGTTTTTACAAGTTTAATAGGGGCAAAATCAGTCTTATCTTAGCAAGTACTATCCCCGCCCACCCGCCCCCTATTTTTTCAGAGGATATGTCATTTGCCAAAATCACTCTTATCCCAGCAAGCACCAACCCCGCCCACCCACCCCTATTTTGTCAGAGGATATGTCATCTGCCAAAATAAGACTAATAGTAATAGTAATATTAGCAAGTACTAACTAGCAAGTACTACCTTCTGAGGAAATAAAGGGCGGATGGACGGGGCTAGTACTTGCCAACATAAGTCTTATTTTGGCAGATGACATATCCTCTGAGAAAATAGGGGGCGGGTGGGCGGGGCTAGTACTTGATAAGATAAGGTTGATTTTGGCAAATAACATACGTTCTAAGAAAGTAAAGGGTGGGTGGGCGGGGCTAGTACTTGCTAACATAAAACTTATTTTGGCAGATGACATCCTCTGAGAAAAGAGGGGGCGGGTGGGCGGGCCTAGTGTTTGTTAAGATAAAACTGATTTTGCCCCTATTAATATTGTAAAAACTTGTGAAATTTAAAAGTTTTAAATTGCAAATTTCCTGTATCTATTCACTTTTAAACTTTCATCATTCGCTAAAATTTGCAAAGTCGCATGTTTAGTGAGCACAGCATTAATCGAACAATCTTTTTTAAATCAAAGAAAATTTATTTTTTGTTGGTTCTTTTTTCACGAAAATTTTATTTTTGACTCTGATTTTTCATGTTCCTGCACTCTGAAAATTAATGTATTATGGGTATTTTAAAATCTCCACTGCCAACTATGTTTCAGATATTTAAACCTAAGTAAATTTATTCATTTAGTTTTGAAAACATAAGGAATATTTCCAATATTTTAAACATTTTGGATTTTGAGTGTGATTACGAATTTTCTTAAGATTTTCACTTCATTTTTCTGATTAATGCAACATTTTTCTAAAATTTAATAAGTCTCATGCTTAGTGAGCACAGCATTAATCAAACAGCTCTTTTAAATTAATGTACTCAATTATGATATACTCACAATTCTACTTCCTGAAAATTAATATATTAGCGCCCACCCGCCCTATCTCAACTGTGACGATTGTGTGAAAAATAAGATAAAACATTAAAAAAAAAATTAAAGGTATTATCCGTTCACGACCTTTATATAGGGGTTGGCCATGAAAATCTAGTGAGTTTGTTGGTATTTGATGCAGAAGAATAAAAATTCCCTGAACTTTTTTCGTTAGGTTATGTTTTATTAAATTAAAGGTTAAAAAATATGCCAGAAATATAAACATTGTTGTAGAAGCAGAAAAGTGGCAATCCAGCTCAAAGCAAATGTCAATCAGACTACTGACAGACAAAAAACTAGATCATCAAATCAGTTTATCCAACTTAAAGAAAAAATATCAAAGCCTACTTTACTATATAAAGATCATGAATGGATAATATAGTGTACATTTAACGAATTGGCAACACCGCCGCGATATCTCTTAACACACATTAAGTTGTGTTACAAGGTGTGAAAATTCTCCCACTTTTGGCGAATGCGCCGGGAAATGGAAAACACAGCCCGCAGCCGGAAATTCCTTGTGAAATTAGACACGCTTCACACCAATTTACAATTACAAATTAGCGAGACGTGCGTGCTGATAATGGCGAAAATGGCAAAAAACGGTACTTACTCGATTTGCCTTTCCAAGAAGTCGACTCCTATCGTTTTCTTGTAATCCTTCGTGAAAGTGCCTTTGCAATATCTTTGGATCATGCTAGATTTGCCCACTCCACCATTGCCCACGATCACCACCTATGCAGAAAGGTTTTAATGGGAAAGAAAGCTGGAAAAATTTGCATGGGGCGGGATTGACTATCCCTGGTACTATTTTAGCTTGAATTATTCATGGCATAAATTATGAGTGGTCGTTGCGATGCAGAACGTTTGGCGGCGATCTCGGCGGCCTAGATTCGTAACGTGGTATGTGCTGAGTTCACTACCATTATCTTAATTCACGCGTTCCTATTCCTATTGATTCGAGTGTTTTGTAAACCCGAAAATCGAAACCGCTAACATATAAATTTGAGTTGTGTTTGTTGGATTGAATTTCTAACCACGTAAAAATATCTCCGAACAAATAGTTTTAAACCCGCTACCAAAAACAAGCTCGTTAAGTTGTAGCGTAGGCGATAAAAGAAATTTCTTGTGCTGGCTACTAAACAAAATAAAGACATTATTGCGAAACGTTTCCTTAAAATAATGAACTATTTAAAGCCGACGCACGTTTTAATTGTGTTTGTTCCAAAGATAAAAGAACTGTAAGAATTATTTTTTTAATTAAAGTTGAAAGAAATCACGTTTTGTATATTAATTTATACGGAACGAAGCAAATAATCAGATGTTAATCAAAGTTACGCGTGAACGGAGACACGAAGAAAAACAAAATAATATTCATGCAAATGCTACACGATTTGGTGTTTTTTCCGAGCGGTATGTTGGCACTCTTGTATATTTCGCGCATATTAACAATGTACGAGTTACTGCTCTCATTCTTTCTTCGTCTAATGCATTAGTTATTGGTTCTACTTTCTTTTGCGCATATTTGGTATTTGCCGCTTTATTATGCTGCTGACCTGGATTCACTAATTGTCTAGGGATTTTGTTTTTCTGTTGCGTATTTTATTGTCATTTTTGATCAGATTATCGCCATCTGTGCAATTTTAAACGTTAATCAACTATGAACGGTGAACTATGTTATTTATGCTGATTTAAAAAATTCTGAAAATAATTAAGAAACAGTTCCAGCTATACACAGAATACAAAAACTACAACTACAAAGCGACTATGAGAAAATGGTAACTACTGACGCGCTGCCCAAGATTTCAATTTCACAGAAGGTAGGCCAGCATAAAATTTTAGAAATGTTGCCAACCTGACATAAAAGTTACAATCTTTTGTAATTAGTGGGTTAATTTTTCAGCCTAAAACCATATAATTTTCAAATTTTTTGGTTTTAATCGTCTCAATAAAAATACGGTTTGTAATTTTTTTTAAATTTAATTAATAACTCTTGGAATTTGCAGTTTTGAAATAAAATAAAGTTTCTGGAGTCCCTAGTGTGATAATTATGACGCCTTCGTGTTATAAATTTTAGTTAATTTAGCAAGGTTTTTTTATAGCTTAAAAATTTATATTTTTTTATTTAAATTTAATTTTTAGAACATTACAATTGTGTTACTGAAATTGTTAAATTTGTAATTCTTTTAAAACTAGAGAATTTGATTAATTCTGAAATTTTCCATTTCAAGTTTCATAATCATAACATACCATATAATCGAGAAAACTTGTCAAGTGAGCACTGGATTTTTTTTTATTATGTTGCCAGCATTGGCTGTTTCTGTCATTTTCGTATTAAACTCTGTATCGGAGCAAACTTGACAAGTTTTTTTTTCGATCATATGGTACCTATATACCGGATGTCTGGAAAATGGCGGATTAACCCTTCAGTCCGTTACGTAGGGGGCCGAAATCCCCGTTATTCTATGTAGCAGCTAAGCTGTGAAGATAAGACTGATTTTGGGAAATGACATACCCTTTAAGAGAAGAGAAGAGAGGGCGGGTGGGCGGGGCTAGTACCTGCTAAGATAAAACTACTTTTAGCAGATGACATACCTTCTAAGACAAGAGAGGGTGGGTGGACGGGGCTAGTAGCGGCCAAGATAAGACTGATTTTGGCAAATGAGATACCTTTTAAGACAAGAGAGGGCGGGTGGGTGGGGCTAGTACCTGCTAAGATGAAACTGATTTTATTTTATCAAGTACTACTTAGAGGGTATGTCATTTGGCAAAAACAGCCTTATCTTCGCAGGGATTAGCCCCGCCCACTTACGCTCTCTTTTCTTAGAGGGTACGTGATTTGCCAAAGTCAGTCCTATCTTACCAGCTACTAGCCCCGCCCACCCACCCTCTCTTTTCTTAGAAGGTATGTCATCTGCCAAAATTAGTTTTATCTTAGCAACTACTAGCTCCACCCACCCATCCTCTTTTTTTTTTTTTAGAGAGTATGTCATTTGCCAAAATTGGTCTTATTCTACCAGATAAGCCACCAAGATAAAACCAATTTTGGGAAATGGTGTACCCTTTAAGAGAAGAGAGGGCGAATGGGCAGGGCTAGTAGCTGGTAAGATAAAACTAATTTTGGCAGATGGCATACCTTCCAAGAAAACAGAGGGTGGGTGGGCGGGGCTAGTTGCTGCCAAGATAAGAGTGATTTTGGCAAATGAGATACCCTTTAAGAGAAGAGAGGGCGGGTGGGGGGGGGCTAGTACCTACTAAGATAAAACTGATTTTATTTTATCAGGTACTACTTAGAGGGTATGTCATTTGCCAGTGTCAGACTTATCTTAACAGGTACGAGTACTAGCCCCACCCACCCGCCCTCTCTTTTCTTATGGGGTATATCATTAGCCAAAATCAGTGTTATCTTATCAGATACTAGCCCCGCCCACCCACCCCCTCTTTTCTTAGAAGGTATCCCATCTGCCAAAATCAGTTTTATCTTAGCATGTACTACCCCGCCCACCCACCCTCTCTTTTCTTAGAAGGTATGTCATCTGCCAAAATTAGTTTTATCTTAGCAGCTACTAGCCCCACCCACCCACCCTCTCTCTTTTTAGAGAGTATGTCATTTGCCAAAATTGGTCTTATTCTAGTAGGCAAGTTACCAAGATAAGACTAATTTTGGAAAATGACATACCCTCCAAGAAAAGAGAGGGTGGGTGGGCGGGGCAAGTAGCTGGTAAGATAGGACTGGTTTTAGCAGATGATATACCTTTAAGAGAAGAGAGGGCGGGTGGGTGGGGCTAGTACCTGCTAAGATAAAACTGATTTTATTTTAGGAGGTATCTACTACTTAGAGGATATGTTAATTGCCAAAATCAGCCTTATCTTAGCAGGTAGTAGCCCCGCCCACCTACCCTCTCTTTTCTTAGAGCGAATGTCATTTCTCAGTGTCAGTCTTATCTTAGTAGGTACTAGCCCCATTCACCCGCCCTCTCTTTTCTTATAGGGTATATCATTAGTCAAATTCAGTCTTATCTTACCAGATACTAGCTCCGCCCACCCACCCTCTCTTTTCTTAGAAGGTAGGCCATCTGCCAAAATCAGTTTTATCTTAGCAGGTACTAGCCCCGCCCACCCACCCTCTCTTTTCTTAGAAGGTATGTCATCTGCCAAAATTAGTTTTATCTTAGCAACTACTAGCTCCACCCACCCACCCTCTCTTTTTTTAGAGAGTATGTCATTTGTCAAAATCGGTCTTATTCTAGCAGATAAGCCACCAAGATAAAACTAATTTTGGCAGATGACATATCTTCCAAGAAAAGAGAGGGTGGGTGGGCGGGGCTAGTTGCTGCCAAGATAAGACTGATTTTGGCAAATGAGATACCCTTTAAGAGAAGAGAGGGCGGGTGGGTGGGGCTAGTACCTGTTAAGATAAAACTGATTTTATTTTAGCAGGTACCTATTACTTAAAGGGTATGTCATTTGGCAAAGTCAGTCTTATCTTACCAGCTATTAGCACCGCCCACCCTCCCTCTCTTTTCTTAGAAGGTATGTCCTCTGCCAAAATTAGTTTTATCTTAGCAGCTACTAGCCCCACCCACCCTCTCTTTTCTTAAAGAGTATGTCATTTGCCAAAATCGGTCTTATTCTAGCAGCTAAGTTGGCAAGGTTCCTTCATGGGGCTGCCTACAATCTTCCGTTTTAACATAACCTAAACTCTGCCTTGTTGCCATTTTCTGTGTCAAGTTACGACCTACCTTTCGGCTGAATTTGTTCTGTCAACAAATTCTTAGGTGACTATATTTTTGTTTGGCGAGCGCAAATTGTAATATTGTCCATCCTTCTTCGAATGCTTACTTTCATGTTTTCTCGACGTTTCGTGACTCTTAGACTAGAGTGTGAAAAAATGGATCTCTCGTTTCCGTCTGTGTCAATTTTTATTTGACAGATAATCTGTAACCACTGGACCGATTGTTGTCAAATTTGATGACACCCCTTCATCATTTTGCGTATTAAACGCCATCTAAATTTCAGAAAATAATATAGTCTTGTACTCGTGGTTTATGAAAAATTATTCTTCCTTCATGAACAATATAAAAAAAAACTAAGAATTTATTATTATTTCTTTATTTTAGCACTCCAAAGTAATCGTATATTAGTTTTATATTTTTACTTTTACTACGTTTTAATAGTTTTAAGTGATTTTTTAGCAATTACAATTTTCAAAATTTAAATAAAAAGTTTTTCTGAATTTTGGTTTTATTTTTCCAATAAGTTTACACTTTTGCAACACTTTAGTTTAGTTTCCAGATTAACAAAGCATTATTGTTTATAGGTAAACATATTTCGACAACAATGAACCAATAACTTTTTACAGGTTATAGTTTTCGGCGTAGAGCATCTTGAAATGGCGCGTGACGTTATGACATTTTGTTAACTCGGTATTTTAAAAAAATCGTGCCCAACTTACGACACTTTCAACTAAAAATTAACCCAGCATGTAAGAAAAAAGTGAAGCAACAATCGAAAACAACTATTAAAAACAATTTCACATTTTCCTAACGATAACTTTCATTTTTAATTTCACTCGCACTTGAAGACCGTTAAACCAAATGATGTAATCTTTCGTATAATAAACTTAGCTTAGATATTTGACATTTTGAACAAACATATTGTAAAGCTACATTAACCACGTGACGTTTGCATCGCAGCTCACTCAGTCCGGTTCGGACTCCCAAAACTCAGCCACCCCCTTCCTTAGTTCATAACAGTAATTGACTTCTTCAGAATTCGAAGCGACTTACCTTGAGGGCCACCTCCAGTTCTTCCTCACGCATATTGCTAGGCCCTCGGCCCGGTGTAACCTCTGTAGAGGCTTCCCGAACTCATCGCTGGTATCCTATTCGGAGTACTCCACGAAAAATCAGTGCCCTGAAACCAAACAAACCATCATTAAACCATGGCCCCCTTTTCCTTATCTCTTTCCACACAAAGTACGCCCAATGGAAAAGGTAGAGCACGACCTTGCCGAGCGGTTACTGACCCATACAGAGCGACCATTGAAAACGCCATACGCTTTGAGAGCGCCCGCCATTATGCCTCTTTTTTGCCCAGAATGTGTATGAAAGATGGTTAATGGTTGTTGTTGCATGTGCGTACGCGAGATGCATGCTTAATGAGATAAAACCTTTCAGAATCCAGGAAGCTGTAATCGGCGAGGTTCGAACGACTCAAATTGATGGGTTTCATTTTCCGCGGTAAGAGGTTTCGATGATAGTTATCGGCAGTTGATTGGATTATCGGCGGGCGTTGGACGTGACAGTGATGGATTATGGGCGCTATCAATAATCTCCAGTTTTTGCTTTTGTGACTTCTGTGTTACCTTTTTTTGTTGTTGTTGTTGTTGTTGTTGTTGGTTTAGGCGAGAGTTTAAATTGAAATTGAGTTTTATGCTGTAAAAAACCCATTTCAGAATGCAAATGATACGCCACTGGTCAAGTCTAAGTGACAGTGACAGATATCAAATGTCAAATGTGTTTAATGATTGTATATAGGTATATATCGTTTGGGAGTTTTTAGACAAAGGTAGCCCATGTAAATCTATTACACTTATGCACATTTTTGCCTAAAAACAGCCTGAACAGTTCAATAATTGAAATGACAGATACGTCAAACTCTGTAATATAAACACATTGGCGTAGTGTATATTCGTACACTAGGCGTTCTGTAACGTCAAGAAGACACGGAATTGCAGCTACAAAGAGGTAAAAACATATAATTATAAAAACCAAATAAACAGAATACAGAATGCAACTTCTGGAAATAACGAGTACGAGAACATTTCCCGCTAATTACACGAATAAACCACAAACATAAACACAGTGCCAAAACCCATCTTTTACGCCAATTATATTCCCGGTAAAACCGCCACACCGCATTCCCCCTATAATTTTCGCTTTTTCTCTCCATCTGGCACTTTCCCACCACCAGCCCTCTTCTTCTAATTACCGGAAACAGCAGCAGCCAGATTCGAACAAAAGCCGGTCCCCCTCTGACATCACCAAACAACTATACTTAAGTCGCCTCGCCAAGAACTGAGCCATTTGCATAATTTAAGAAAACTTCACAGATTCGACTCGATACGCATCTCTGCCTGAAGAATCGGACTCACCAAGGCCAAGAGTCGTCACATCCGTCGCGCACACAAAGAACACGTTTTTCCAGTGTATACGCCGTTTTCCCAGTTGAAAAATAAAAATGGAGAAACAATGGCGCGGCGGTAAAAATCGATGCGAGGCAAAGACGGCCGGCGATTCTCATTAATTTATTAACAATTTCATTTACAAATCGGCTCGATTTATATGCGATTAAGGCGGCGATGGATTTTTTACGTGCTGGATGGACGTAATTAAAATTAATGGGTTCGGATTAAAAAGCGTGGTGGAATGTCGTGATGGATTAATTTGCTTTTTGTGCGGCTGTGGAACTGCGGTTGGATATAAATCGGCGTAGGAAATGTAGAGGGGGGAGGTGAGCTAGGCCAAGTTACTTCCCCGATAAGCAAAAAGTCAAATTTAGACTGGAGACAATTACACGTAAAATTTTTTTAGCTTTTTGTGTTATAATTTGTGCAATATGCGGAAGAGCACTATCTGATCGAATCTGTATTCCTTATATACATGTGTCTCATCAAGTGGGAATGTAAAACATATTATTTCCTATCTAATTAATCAAAAGTGTATATTTATGAACACATTCTAAGTGTTGACTGCCTGTTGAATAATAAAATAATAATAAAAGTAATAATATTTTGCCTTTTTTTCAAATATAATTTTCTTTTCCCAACAAGAAAGTTAAAACATGTTAACAATTATAAATTTTTGCAGGAAATTATGGATTTTGTCATTACGCTCCTCCTCTTGGTTTGACAACGAATGAAAAATTCGTATCACCCGAGAGGTGGGTGGGGCAAAATCTATAAATTTTTTTTCTTAATACAGTTTTCTTTCAACAATATCAAATGGTGGATTAACAATTAACAGTACTTTAAACTAAATGAAAATTTTCTGACATCGAATTTCTTTAGTTTATTTGAAGTTCCAGTTCAAAAGATTTATAACCCGAAAAAAAATTCTATAGAAGACAAAATTTTTTGGGGAAAATTCATCATTTTTACAATGTCATCACCGACCTTATAAACGAACTAAAACTTTTCTGAAAATATAACTTTATACGAAAACCTTTTACAAAAACTGCTATAGATTAATCATCTATGGAAAATTCTATAGATTCAAACCTTTTTTCGTTGGATTAATGCTATTTTAAACGAATGAAAATTTTCTAAAATTGAATTTTTTTTAGTTCATTCCACCTCAAAAGATTTAGAACCTGAAAAACTCTATAGAAGACATTTTTTTTCGGAAAAATTGGTCATTTTTACGATGTTATTACTGATCTTATTAACAAACTTAAATTTCTCTGAAAAGCTAGCTAGCTTAGTTCATTTGGTTCTAATTTATATGAAAGCCCTTTACAAAAATTACTATTGATTTATCATCTATGGAAAATTCTATGGAAGGTTGACCAATTTTCGATGGATTTACGATATTTTTATCTAAATGAAAATGTTTTCAAATCGAATTTCTTTAGTTTATTTGAAGTTCCATTTCAAAAGATTTATAACTTGAAAAAAAATTCTATAGAAGACAAAATTTTTTGGGAAAAATTCATCATTTTTACAATGTCATCACCGACCTTATAAACGAACTAAAACTTTTCTGAAAATATAACTTTGTTGATTTGGTTCTGCGTTATACGAAAACCTTTTACAAAATCTGCTATAGATTTATCATCTATGGAAAATTCTATAGATTCACACCTTTTTTCGTTGGATTAATGCTACTTTAAACGAATGAAAATTTTCTGAAATTGAATTTTTTTTAGTTCATTCCACCTCAAAAGATTTAGAACCTGATAAAAGCTCTATAGAAGACATTTTTTTTCGGAAAAATTGGTCAGTTTTACGATGTTATTACTAATCTTATTAACAAACTTAAATTTCTCTGAAAAGCTAGCTTAGTTTATTTGGTTCTAATTTATATGAAAGCCCTTTACAAAAATTACTATTGATTTATCATCTATGGAAAATTCTATGGAAGATTGACCAATTTTCAATGGATTTACGATATTTTTATCTAAATGATAATGTTTTCAAATCGAATTTCTTTAGTTTATTTGAAGTTCCAGTTCAAAAGATTTATAACCTGAAAAAAAATTCTATAGAAGACAACATTTTTTGGGGTAAATTCATCATTTTTACAATGTCATCGCGGACCTTATAAACGAACTAAAACTTTTCTGAAAATATAACTTTGTCGATTTGGTTCTGGGTTATACGAACATCTTTTACAAAAACTGCTATAGATATATCATCTATGGAAAATTCTATAGAATTCAGACCTTTTTTCGTTGGATTAACGCTACTTTAAATGAATCTAAATTTTCTGAAATTGAATTTCTTTAGTTCATTCCACCTCAAAAGACTTAGAACCTGATAAAAACTCTATAGAAGACATTTTTTTTTCTTGAAAAATTCGTCATTTTTACGATGTTATACTAATCTTATTAACAAACTTAAATTTCTCTGAAAAGCTAGCTTAGTTGATTTGGTTCTAATTTGTATTAAAGCCCTTTACAAAAACTACTATAGTTTTACCATCTATGGAAAATTCTATGGAAGGTTGACCAATTTTCGGTGGATCAACGCTACTTTAAACTAAATGAAATTTCTTTGAAATCAAATTTCTTTAGTTTATGTGAAGTACCAGCTCAAAAGATTTATAACCTGAAAAAAATTCTATAGAAGACAAAATTTTTTGGGGAAAATCCGTCATTTTTACAATGTCATCACCGACCTTATAAACGAACTAAAACTTTTCTCAAAATATAGCTTTATCGATTTGATTCTAGGTCTACAAAAACTGCAGTGGATTTACCATCTATGGAAAATTTTATAGAATTCAGAGCTTTCTTCGTTGGATTAACGCTACTTTAAACGAATGAAAATTTTCTGAAATCGAATTTATTTAGTCCATTTGAAGTTCCACCTCAAAAGATTTAGAACCTGCTAAAAATTCTATAGAAGACATTTTTTTTTTCGGAAAAATTCGTCATATTTACGATGTCATTACTGATCTTATTAATGAAGTTAAATTTCTCTGAAAATCTAGCTTTGTCCATTTGGTTCTAGTTTATATGAAACCCCTTTACAAAAACTACTATAGTTTTACCATCTATAGAAAATTCTATGGAAGGTTGACCAATTTTCGGTGGATCAACGCTATTTTAAACTAACTGAAATTTTTTTGAAATCGAATTTCTTTAGTTTATTTGAAGTACGAGCTCAAAAGATTTATAGCCTGAAAAAAATTCTATAGAAGACAAAATTTTTTGGGGAAAATCTGTCATTTTTACAATGTCATCACCGACCTCATAAACCAACTAAAACTTTTCTCAAAATATAGCTTTGTCGATTTGGTTCTAGGTCTACGAAAACCCTTTAAAAAACTGCTGTAGATTTACCATCTATGGAATATTCTATAGAATTCAGACTTTCTTCGTTGGATTAACGCTACTTTAAACGAATGAAAATTTTCTGAAATCGAACTTCTTTAGTTTATTTAAAGTTCAACCTCAAAAGCTATAGAACCTGGAAAAAATTCCATAGAAGACACATTTTTTTCAGAAAAATTTTGATCATTGGCTTTTTTATAATGAAGTTTTCTTTTAATTAGAAACATGTTTCACATGGTAATTTCCCGTAAAAAAATAAAGATTTCGAAATTAAGCTCCGCTCCCCGACTCACGACGAATAAACAAAATCATCACAATGAGTTGAGGGAGGGTGGGCGGGGCTTATATTTTGCCACTTT